CAACCAGTGTACATGCACATGGTTTTGAAATTTGGTACTTTGAATATGTACATTGTGACCCTGTAAACATGAGTATCTTTAAAGGCATCGTTTAACAATATTAAATCTGAGATGCACGGCCCTACGTGTTATCAGTGTCTGTGATATGGTGTAATATTGAAGCCCTAAAAAAGAGCTTCAAAATGATCATGAAGTGCTTCAAAAAAGTAAAAATCTTTGAGTGACAGGTTTTACCATACTCATTGTCCCCAATAGACTGTAGTGTTACGAAAACTGTTAGGAAAACAAATTCTGAAATTTCTAATTCCGATCATAGATATCTTGATAATCAGACAGGCGACTGGCTTATAAAAGTCATGGGATCCATGTATGACCTAAATGTTTATAATTATGATTACTGCATGAGCTAAATCCAGGATTTTTAGAAAGAATCTGAGGCAAAGTTACCTAATCCCTTTAATCTGTATTCCATGTGCACGTGTACAGGTACAGGTTGTAGTAAGTTAGTAACAATGTTACGCAGTATGCCACACAGATGGTCTACACTCGAGTTACAAAGTACAGTGAGACACTGTGTAGGGCATGTGAAGGTAAATATGGCATACTCTGTACCTGTCCTGTAAAGTGCATCAGGGGAATATTTGAGAAATATTCAGTTAACAATTAAATTATTTAATATAACCATTGTAAATTTGATGTTTTGGTGTTGAATGAAGGGTCGACTGGTTGACTTGGGGCTTTTGCTGAATATTTTAATATATATACATGTATGTCACATTCTCGAGAATCATAAATTGGGATAAATCAATTTTTCACATACTTTAAAAAATACACAACTTGTTATTAAAGGGTAAGTTGTTAATGTGTAGCTATTACAAAGCACAGCAGACATAGAACTATACATGTACACATGTAAATGTGTGATTTACAAGTAGGAACTACAACATCCAAAAGTACATACTACACTGTACTGTACATGTACACTGTAAATAAAAGTATTAAAATGATTGTTATCATTATTATTCATTGTCATTAATATCATTATACTACCATCATAAATTAAAGGTCAAGTTTAAAGTATTGTGACTCTGATCAAGAATTACTTGGCACTTGGCAGAAAAGAAGAAAAAATTGCCCCTGTATTTACAGATTATATAAAAATGTAAACAGAATTACAGATATACAGTAGACCAATATGTACATTCTCCAGTTGTCTTTGATCAATCATATGCACTGTAATGCACTGTTATCATATTACTGTGCTATCATTAATATTACAGTATGAAGTACAGTATTGCTTGGAATAAAGTAGACACTCTCACACTGTGTCACGCAAGGTCAAACATTTCAACTTGAAATGACCATGGAACACAATGTTCCTGCCATTATAATGAGGGGGCATATACATGTACATGTACATTAAAGGGATCCGGTAACTTTGTCTTAATAGAACCTTCAAAAATAATCCTTGATTTAGCTCATGCTGCAATGATAATTATAAACCTTTATGTCAGTCAGGAACTCCATAACTTTTACAAGCCGATCGCCTGTCTGATTATCAAGATATTAATGATTGGAATTACAAATTTTGAAAAACGTTCGCTGAACGGTTTTCATAACACTACAGTCTATTGGGGAAATGAGTATGGTAAAACCGGTCACTCAAAGATTTTTACTTTTTTGAGGCATTTCTTGATCATTTTGAAGCGCGAATTTTTTAGAGCTTCAATATTACACCATCTCATAGACATTGGTATCATGTAGGACCGTGTATCTCAGATTTAACGATGTTAAACGATCCCTTTAACACAGGCATGACAATTTTCTGCTAGTGATTGGTGCTAGACTGACATTCTCTTTGAGTTCGATTAGAACACATATTTTACAGTGTTTAATGTACATGCACACTGTACGTTTGTATTTTGTTTGTCACTGTATTTTGTTTTTTGTTTATTTTGTTTGTTATAGCACTTAGAGACTTTGGCGGAGAGTGCTTTATAAGCACTGTTTTTTTAAATTATTTTTCATTATTATTGTAGGCAGGCCTACTGTACATCACCATGTACATTCATGATAGGCTTACTACATGTACTCCAAAAGCAATTAAGATACAAAAATTGAGATGTTACTTGGAAAATCATTATTTGTGGACAATAATATGAGTCACAGATACTGAGATAGTACAGTTGTAGCATCGACTTTACAGGTAATACAACCGAGTGGTTGACTTTAACGTGTGTGTGGGAAGCGTAAGAGGATGACGTGGGTTGACTCACTTTTCTCATTGCTTTCCTGCTATAATATTGGACTCCAGTTCACAAGGACATTGATGCCTTCAAGCAATGATTAATATTTGCTCCAATTAATCATTTTTTCATCATCTTCTTCCTACCTCCTGCACTCCTCCATTAGTAATTACACCAGTTTGTAAACTTAGGTTTAGTTTATACTCATCTATGCTTTTCTCTTCCCGTAATTTGACTGTTTTTTTAATTTTCATCTAATTTTTCTTCACTTGCTAGGGCTGTTGATGTACATGTACAATGTACACTGCATGGTCATCTACATTTTTTTCTCAATAATAAATTTATTTCCCTTTTTGTTCCTTTCCATATATTCTAGTATTCCTGTTCCTCCTGTTTCTCTCTGTAATGTACGCTATACCCCCCCCCCCCCCCCCTCTCTTCTCTCTCTCTCTTTCTCTCTCTCTCTCTCTCTCTCTTTTGCTTCTCCTCCCTCTTTCCCCTCACATCCACTTCTAGAGCTCTACTCCTCCTACATTTGTATCCATCTATCTCTTTATTCTTTTTCTTCTCATCCTTCTCATTTTTCTCCTCCTCCTCCTCCTCATCCTCCTTCTACTAGCCTCTTTTTCATCTTCTTCTCTTACTACTTTAATAATCTCAATCTTATTATTCCATTTGTAATCTTCTATGTGTAGCTCCTTTATCTTTCATCTGCTCCCCCCCCCCCTCCTCCTCCTCCTCCTCCTCCCATTCTCTCTTTCTCTCTTGTTTTTCTGTTTCATCTTTTACTCTGTTCTCAAGCTACTGCTTCTTTTTCTTCTCCATTTTCTTCTTCTTCGTCATCGTGTTGTCTTCTTCTCCTCCTCCCCTTCTTCTCTTCCTCCATCTTCTTCCTACCTATCTCTCCCCTACATGAATACACTGCTCTCTCTCACTCCAACAGCCAATACTTAATACCTGGTACATAATTACATCTCCACAGATTCTGCAATTGTATTTAACCTTTATCACATCAATATACATGCACAATGTACACAAGCAAACGACAATGTACAAAATGACAAGAAGTTATGTGTCCTGAAAATGTTTGTGAGCATGGCAAATAATCGGCAATGCAATATTAACATACATACATTGCACATGTGCACATACATTGTACCGGTAAACGTACTTGTGCAGTGTACTACATACTGTACATGTATGAAGTTAATATTGACATGAGAGATAAAATAACCTGGTCAAACTCTGTTCCACTCCTTACATTCTAGGTTTAATAGGCCAATAGGTAGGACAGCTCTGATCTTATCTTCTGTATACAACAGAAAACCCCAACAAATTAATGATTACATTCCCACAGGCCACAGTACACACCTGTAGAATGTCCAAAGTTCAATGTACATATTCCAATATCTTAAATTCTAGTGATACTTAACGAAAAAAGATTCTGTACAGTGAATGTACATGTACACAATATAGACATGTACAATATGCATTGCATCCAAGTACATGTAGTCATAATGTGATAATGCCAACATAATGTTTAACCCATTCCCTACAAGAACCATATGGTCCATGTACAGTATAAAGTCTACAGGTATAAGAGAACTCAGTACCGGTAGTCAATTGTTTAACTTAACATCAGGATCTAGCAATATGGGATCACTGGATCTAGCAATATGGATCACTGGTGCTAGTAAATTGATCATGGATAAGTTGCTTTCAATTCAATGTGCATGGAAAATATTATTTCAATTTGTACAGTGTAGACCTCCCAAGAAGAAGAACAAAGCCATTTAATGAATGGCTCTGATGAATAGGACCATCGAGCTGCATTGTTTAAATAATAATTTAACAGTGTATGTTGGTGCTCATTTGTATATTTTTGTATATGGAAGAAAAAAAAAAAAAAAAAAAAAGAAACCTGTGCAAGTTTGATATGGACTAAACAGGAAATCAGTTCTAAATAGTTCTTTGAATACTTTCAACACACTTCTTCCATTCCAAGTGCAGTGATTCCTAAGCCAGATGGCACGATGTCAAACAGACAAGGGCAGGAGAGACAACAAACAGAACAACAAGTCTATTTTCATGTTACAATCGCAAGATTTGGGGGGAAATCACATAAACCAGGGTCAAGTTTCTTACCCTTTCAGTTTTGATGCCAAGTGGCCTAATTGTAATGTTTATCTATTTTATGAGCTACATTGTACACTGTACTGTACATACAGACTTGTGCATGTCCATGGCAATATTTGTTTTCATCCTACATGTACATGTACATATATAGTATGGGTAATATGTGGGAGAATGCTTTAAAAATATAGTTCACCAGTCTCTGACATGATGTCGTTTCTCCTTTCACTCATGTCTGTCTATCTGTCTCTCTCTCTCTCTGTCTGTCTCTCTGTCTGTCTGTCTGTCTGTCTCTCTCTCTTTCTGTCTCTCTCTCTCTCTCTTTGTCTCTCTCTCTCCACATCCCACCCCTCTCTCTATTTTTTCTTCATCTCGCTCACCATTATTTCTCTCCCTCCCCTTCCTCTCATTCTCTCTTCATCCCTACCTACCCTCTCATCCCCCTCCCTCTCTGTCTCTCTTCTTTCTCATCTCTCTCTCTCTCCCTCTCTCTCTTTCTCTCTCTCTACCCCTTTATGTGATGAAATAAAGCGTGGAGGAAATGTCACCAGACCAAAAGTCAGTTCGTCTCTAAATTCCAGTAAACCAAACAAAAATAAACAAAAAACAACAACAACTTACCTTGATGGAGAGTCTGTTGCATGTAACCTTCGAAATGACAATCCATGATGGCAACTCCAGGACGTCCATCAAAACCTGCTCATCTAATTCTAGATTGGTCAGCTGACCTTCCCCTTTAAGTGTGCTAAGACCTATCTTGTCTGAGGAAAGGTTCTTGACGAATCTAGGACAGATAGAATCAAAGCAAAATAGGATTAGGTCACATAAGGCCCGTCATCATCAGACCGAAGTTGCAAAAAATCTGCTATTTTAACTAGCCTGATCTCAAATTAGCCAGCTAATTTGCGTCTTCATCAGCCCGCAGTTGCAATTAGAGGGGTATTTGGTCGAGCAAATATCCCAAGAAATCTTGGTCGTTTCCAAAATAATTTGCACCAGTTTGTGATAAGCATATCGGTCTGGTGAATACGCAGTTTTGAGCATCTGAAAATAGTAGGTTATTTTACAACTTCAGTCTGATGAAAACAGGCCTAAAGAAAGGTCATAATGTGGGAGTCCTATGGGATTGTGGTTTATTCACTTGATTTTACACTTGTTCATCTTATATTTTCTATGGTACATGTATGCTGATCTTCCCCTTTAAAGGGAAAGTCCAGTCTGATATTAGGCCAAATAAAAAAAAACATGTTTAGCGTCCTGTTTTTTCGAAAAATAGGAAGGAGGAGGCCCTTTTCTTTCCTTCAAAATGGCTGCTCAAAATGGCTGCTGGGTACATTTTCCCTGACAGTCGGCCTATTTTTCAAGATGGCCGCCGATTTTTTTCAATTTAAAAAAAAAAATTCAAAAAATTCAAAAAATTTCAAAAAAAAGATAGGAGGCGGCCCCAAAAAAGGAAGCAGGGCAGGGACGCTAAACATGTATATATTTTTTTTTAATGGCCTTAGGTTGGTCTTCATAAAAGTAGAAATGAGAGGAAGAGGTCAGCGCAAGTTTAAGCAAATCCGATTAAAAATAAGAAATAAATGAATTTTTGAAGTAGTGATCAATCAAACGCAAATTGGCAACACTGTGACATATCTTGCAAGCTCCTCTCCAATTTGCTCTGTACATCAAATTTCATAAATTTTCATTTTCTTTGTTGTGCATGTACATGGACATGTAGATGATGTAATCATTTTTTTCCCTACAGGGTTTGAGTAGAACCATATTTTCAATGATTATATTTAGGGTGCATGTGAAAATTAAAAAATTGTTTATTTGATGATTTTTTTATATTTTTTAAAACTCTGTCTTCATCTAAAGCCTCGGTCACAAATGCTATTACGAACTGCTACGAACGCCGTACGAACGATTTTCAGACAATGGAAAGTCGGGAAGACAATGAAAAAACAGGAAGATTCGTACGACGTTATCGTCCGTACGAACCTTTGTGACTGTAGCATTAGCTTTCTAGTCTAGATCTAGAGTTATTTGATAGATTTTACCAATAAAATAGTCTACACTGTACACATTACAAATCAGAAGGAGCTTCTCTTCAAATGCTTTTTAATCTCAGAAAAAAGGAGATGATGAAATCGAATGTACACCACACTTTTTGCATGAAACATTTCATGTTTTTAGGAAAAATACTCAAAAAAAACGATAGGAAAATTGACAAGAAACAGGTAAGAAACATTATAACTTTAAATCATGTCATCGTGATCATTTGAACAATGGATGAAGATTCAGTCAATTATGGTAAGTTTTAGAAAGGTATCTCGACGCCAGAGTTATTAGACCGTGGGCCGAGCGCGATTTTCCTTCCAGTTCGTTGCATAGATTCCGGTACAAGATTTAGATAATGTTAATAAAAAGATAAAAATACACAAAATCCCAAATCAGCTTATTCCTGCGAATGAGTCCTTGTCGTTCGTATAAAACATAAGTTTCATTGACAAGTTATTTAAGAGAAATGTGCATGAACGAGACCGCCAACTCTCCGTTCGTACACGTGTATTAACTCACCGTGCGACGAGAGTGAAACAGCACATTCTCAGTCTCCGTCGTACGAAGAAATTATGTAATCCATTCGAATATTTCACAAAGCCAATCACATTTGCTTACAGAATGTAAATAATATGATTTTGCAAATATTAACTGCGAAAACTAATGAAAACCTCGTCAGGGTGAAAATATTTCGAAAATGAGGGGTCATAGCTACCATGAAACAGACGAGAAATAGCGCGTTGCCAATTTGATATTATTGTAAGGATCGTATGCAATTCTCTTGAATGTACACTGATCTGTGTAGAGATCAGTGGCTCCATACTGACAAGACTCGAGTAAGTTTTGTGTAATTAAAACTTTTGATGAAAAAATTTCTTGTATTAGCGATGCAATGGTAGTTTAAAAATAGGCCTACAGAATTAGAGTTCCTAAATATTCATTGTAATTATAAAAAACAGATATAGTCTATGTCTTTTTATAAAATTATACATCATCATTCTGTACACTTCACATATAATACCTCAGCATGTAGATCTATTTGTTATCAATTTTTAAGCCAGTGAATGCAGCGTAATTTTGAATAAACATTGTCATGAAACTTATGTTTTATACGAACGACAAGGATTCATTCGCAGGAATAAGCTGATTTGGGACCAAAAACTATGTACCACAAAGTCAGTCCAAAAAAAGAAAACTAAGCCCTAAAATCGCGCTCGGCCCACGGTCTATATGGGTCAAAGTATGGATAAGATCCGCCGATTTCTCCCCTGCATGCATCTTCATGCATCCATCTTGACAGACACAGAGTCAGACTCGCCAAATCATCACTAGTCTACATCAGCTCAGTTCAGCTGTCAACTTACAATGCCAATGTCCACACATACACCGCAGTCACTCACTCACACTCACTCAGCTCAGTCTTCGTGTCACTCTACCGAATATTTATTATTTTATTCACTTACTTCGACAAGTGCTTGATGATTTGATTCTTGATAATCGACGTCATGGTTCTCTGTATACTCTACAACTAAAAAAGAAATGAAAAACTACAAGGCTTCTTGCTATGATGGCCCAGTTTCCAATGACATTCTCTCCATTTTCGGTCCACGAATTATGACAACTTCTACTTGTACTTACTTGTCTACTTGTTATCGTTAATGATCGATATAACGGATTCAATATTGGAGGATAGACGTTTTACCAGGTACTTATCAAAAACATCTTATGGTTTTTATCACAAAGTTTATCTGACGATAAATAAGAATATTTTTGATAATAAATTATGCAATAAGAATATAATTTTATAATGCGAATTTATTTAAAAACTTAAGAATATGTGTTTTATATAATAATTATTACGATTTATCACAGAAAGAAAGACCACTATGAGAAAAAAGTTGGCATGAATCCGAAAATAGATGGCGCTTACTCAGCAAATGTGTATGATCGAATCTCTTTGCAAATGTCAAAATTGGTTAATGGATAAAAAGTTTGCCGACCTATAACAGTTCCGCTTCAACCCCCCCCCCCCCCCCCCCCCCCCCCCTCCCCATCCACTAATGGCCATCGTAAAGGCACACGAGACAGGGCCCCGGGTGTTTTGGGAAATATTGAAAATTGGCTGGATAGTGATTCTTCACAATTTTTATATATTTGGATGCCCCTGTGGATGTATTATAAGCACTATAAAAATTAGCCCCTAAATCACTTCTGCTTTCGAGAAAAATGGAATATATAAAATTTACCGGTGATCCCGGTAAATTTTGATAAATTTCAAATAGCGACTTAAGGCCATACAATGGTAGCTGCGACCATAAAAATTTCAGAATATATAGTTGTGATACATAATTTTCAGAAGGGAATATAGCCAATCGGTCTATTCTAGTCAAGAAACATTGTGTTATAGCTTAATTAACATCTTGATCTTAAGAGGGAGCTATAAATTTAGACTCGATTTCAACCGTGACACTGCAACGATCACTGAATATTGTAGGATCGCATATGCTTCCAATATGTTAATTTGAACCAAATTCATGACCCCATACCAAAACTTTGTATTACCTTTAATTTCAGGCAAAGCTGTTTCTGGATACTCTTTTTCAACTTATTATTATATTAGAAACCCAACATTGAAGCTATGTAGCCATAATTATTGATTAATGTCAATCATAAGAGAACTTACAGCCCCAAAAACGCTTACTATTGAAGAAGGCAAACACCGTGCAAGAACTATAGTTGACATCATGGGCAGTGACAGCAACCCCCTCCAGGAAAAAAATACCTATACCTCATCCCCCAACTATATAAGCCACATAATTTGAACATTATACTACTCCTCATTATATGTTCCAAGTACAAATAGGCCTAACACTTTCCATTTTCTACCAAATCTTGCTATATCGGCAATTGATATAGGCTAGTCATTGACTGCTCTACGTAGTATACTAATTGAATTGTGAATTATTACTTTAATGTGAAATTGAATGATAGCTATAGGGTTACATTGAACTAAAATTTCTGAGAGGTCGGGTGTTGACGTTTAGGCTCTGTAATTACTTTCTATTTATACATTGTAGATTACTTTTTAAATAAATTTGTTCCCTTTTTTTTAAATAGAGGTATATATACGATGCGCTTTAACAACGAAAAAACACATAATTCATTAAAAAAAATACCTCAATTACTTACGGGTCTCTCCTTCTTCTTCTTCTCTTCTTCTTCTCCTTCTCCTCCTCCTCGATCCTTCTTCTCAATCTATTTCTTCTTAACTTTCTCCTTCTTCTAATTCTTCTCCTCCTCCTCCTCCTCCTCCTCCTCCTCCTTCTTCTTCTTCTTCTTCGTCTTCTTCGTTCTTCTTCGTTCTTCTTCTTCTTCTTTTTCTTCTTCTCCTCTTCCTCCTTCATTCTTCTTCCGTCTTCTTCTCCTCCTCCTCATTATCTATAGTCAAAACTTGAAACAAGTTGGAAACAATTGAAATCATGGATCACGGAGACTTGTCGAAATCACAGCATATTCTTATATGGATTTTAATTTGTTCATTTTTTTAACGTCTTAGTTTTTTTTCGAATGGGGAGTGTGTCATCTTTTCACGTAGGCCTACATAGTATAATGCCAATGGGTAGATAGAATTCCAGGGGCGGGTGCCCTCGATAGGCCCACGTACGATCATAATAGCTATTAATTATCACTGTATAGAGATTCCGATGAAGTGGAATAATTAGCCAATTTAAATTTTGAATTATGTGTTCTTGTTTATTCTTTTTAGGGGGCGGGGGGGGGGGGTCATCTGTCTCTCTGACAGCCCTCGTAAACAACGTAGCCACGGGGGGGGGGGACACTCCCCCCCCCCCCCCAAATTTCCAAGATCGGTTGAACTTTTTTAGATCCCTTTTTTGACGCCGATCGAATACATGTATGTGCCCCCCCCCCCCCCCCCCCCCCCCCTCAAACATCAAACTCTAGCTACGTGCCTGCTCGTGAAAGTCGTGAGGGAACATACAAAAAAAAACATTTCGAGGGCGGGGCGCAACGCGACGCGACAGAGCATGCATATATTCGCGCTTGAAGAGTACGTGCGCGCGTAGTCGTGCGCTAGCGCTCTATTTGTTGATACATGAATGGTACATGGAGGCTACATAGCTAGTCGACTGACTATTTTTGCAAAGGTCTTTCTTAAAATAAAATGTAAGTAGATCTTACAGATTGGTGATAACTTGTTAGGTCTTGATATAGCAAAGATTTGATTAATGATGTCATACTTTGTAAGCATGTAGGAAATATACCTAATAATGAGTTGCACGTTACACACGCCGAGCTCGAGCTCCAGAAGCTAGGCTCATGCGGATCCGGGGAGCTCATGCTCGGGGTCCGCTGGCTGGGCTCAAGCCGGTAGCGCTAGCTGTGGCGTTGGGTGTTTGATCAGCGCGCGTGTAGGCAAGTATGTGCTCTCCCCAACGTAGACCTACCTGGCCTTGGTAGTGACCCTGGCGACATGCGAAACTTCTGCAATGAAAATTGATATTTATCTTTTAGGTTGGTTGTTGTTGTTTAAATAGTGAAAAAATAGGCCAGTACATACAGACGGCGATATGGCATAGGTCTAGATCTATGCCAACTTCATTTTTTAAATCACATTTTACATTCTCCAATTCTCTCACGCAATTCACGTACAACAAACCTTGCAAACTAACTGAGTAACTTTTGGTGTTTGCTTGATGAGTCTTCTTTAAGTTTAAGTTAAGTTTAAGTTTGATCTTTCTACTCAAGTCACCACGACCTCCAGTTTAAATTCCACTAGGAATCTTTTGGAGGAACCAAGTACTAATGAAGTAGACTCCAAGTCATGAGACGCAGGAATTTATGAAGGAAATTTGCTATTGAAGTGTTAATGATTTTGCGTATCTTGCACATGTTCCTATTCATCTAATGATAATGAGTTGACATGCGATTTCCAGGACAAAAACGTTCACCTCTGCAGAGATATCAATGGAGTTTGAGTCAATTATTTCTTGAGGGAGACTATTCCAGTCAGACACCACTCTGTTGCTGAAAAGCATTTCCTTATGTTTAGACGAGACCTTTCCTTGAAAATCTTTAGAGAGTGTCCTCGGGTGCGAGTATTGAGTGATAAGGTGAAGAAGTGACTTGGATCCAGCCTTAGTAAGCTACTTACTAAACTAGTGATTAAACTCATTAAAGGATTATTACTTTACTTGTACATGTAAAAGAGAACTGTTGTTGAGCTAGCGCCAGGAGCATCCCTGGACGGTGTGTGTCCTCTATAAGTTTACACTATTATTATTGTTATTAAAGCATTGACATCAGATTTTCTTTTACTGGTTTTTTTCTGATACAGTTACCTTCCTGTGCTGCCCCTAGCATTCCTGTGATTCCACCAGCCATGACAGGAATCATTAGGGAAACTCGACGGCTAGAAACCTGGACCTCGCTCAGCGAAGATGGTCTGGTGGGATGGGTGCCCTCGACCGAAGCCGCGGAAAGCATACGGGAATCGTATGAATTCGAGACCGGGATGAAATACGTCACGGAGTGGAAAACAGGACCGTGGAGAAGCACAGACGGCAATGACGACACTGACCTTGTCGCCGTAAAAAGAAGTCTAAAGGTTCTAAATCAAAAGCAAAAGTAGAAGAGAGCGGAGACGACCAAACAGAAAATCATATGGAAGGTCAAACAGAAGGTGAAACAGCAAATCCGGATCAAGTATTAGGTAAGGATGATACTGACCTTGTCATTTAAAAAAAAAAGTCTAATGGTTCTAAATCAAAAGCAAAAGAGGAGGACCAAGCGAAAGAAGAAGAGAGCTGAAAAAAGAAAGAAAAAAAAATCATTTGGAAGGTCAAACAGAAGGTCAAACAGCATATCCAGCTCAAGTGTTATGTAAGGATGATACGGACCTTATCACCGTTAAAAAAAAAAGTCAAAAGATTCTAAATCAAAAGCAAAAGAACAAGAGAGCAGAGATGACCAAACAGAAAATCATATGGAAGGTCAAACAGAAGGTGAAACAGCATATCCAGGTCAAGTCTTAGGTAAGGATGATATTGACCTTGTCATCGTAAAAAAAAGGTCTAAAGGTTTTAAATCAAAAGCAAAAGAGGAGGACCTAGCAAAAGAAGAAGAGAGCGATGAAAACCAAACAGAAAATCACATGGAAGGTCAAACAGCAGATACAGGTCAAGTATTAGGTAAGGATGATGCTGACCTTGTCATTGTTAAAAAAAAGGTCTAAAGGTTCTAAATCAAAAGCAAAAGAAGAAAAGCGCCAAGAATTAGGATTAGGTTAAGGGTTACAGTGGCCGTGCAGGTGAGGACTAGTGCGTAACTATTCTCGTTCCATGCTTTTTTTCTACTTCGGGCAGAATCTGGAGAATTACAGGTGATGAAGGGATGTTGTCTTTCTGTGATTGCATGAAACACATTGGTAATCAAAAAACAATAATTTTAAAGCAAAAACAGGACTTAAAAATAAAAGGAAATAGATGCAATCTATCAAGAAAAAAATAAAAACATTGTGTATGCAGTTTAATGATGTGAAAATATTGTGATTCTCCCCCAGTGGTGCCATACAGGGTGCGTTTCTCCGATACGATATGGAAAGACGCGATGATCCCTAACGATGGAGTGCCATTCTTCAGCGTGTCCAGGTTCATGTGTTCGTGCGTCTACGGCAAGGATAGACATTCCAGAGAGAAGCAAAGGAATCGAAGAGTGATGAGAGAGCAAAAGGTAAAGAATTTTTTTTTTTTGAATAATAATAATAATAATAATCTGGATTTATCCAGGTATTTATAAAGCGCCAATATCTAGTTGCCTAATCAAAGGCGCTGATGAGACTGAAAAACTACCAAAAATGTCTGTTCATGATTCTGTCTCTGAACAATTACCCCAGTCATCGGATTCATTCACGCACAATGTGCACCATCTCCACTCCCTGGGGAATATTCCTACCATATGGTCACTGTGAGGGCATAGGCAATTACTAACACAAATGTTTATGTGTCCACTTGTCCAGGCTTTTCACTTACTTAGACTTAGTTCCTCCTATTCCTTTTGGAACATTTGGCAGTGACAAAAGTTTTCCATCCTCTGCGGTCTGCTGCCAAGGATTTAGCATCTTCCCGGCTCAGGTCCACTGCACCTAGATTCTTCAGAACCTTCCCCTTCCATGATGTTAATGGATGTCCATGTTTTCTTTTTTCCACCTCCTGGCTTCAAGTCTTGGGAGATCCTTGGGGGTCTCGTTGATGACATTCTAATAACATATCCAAAGCTTTTAACTCAAACAGCTTACTGTAAAAGAGACCATTAGCCAAGATCAAAAAGAGACCTTTAGGTCAAGGTCATAAAGAAATGCAAATTACTACAAAATTCTATCAGACAATCAGATGTCTGTCCAAAAAATCACTTTAATGTTGTTTTGTTATACTGCAAAGCTTATATTCCTCTCTTCTAAAATTTTCTTTGTAAAGACATACAAAATACAAAGTATTCCTTATTTTGTCTCAAAAGATTTCTGTGAACTCTAGAAGGACCATGAATTAAACTTGCGTTGTACGTAGCTTATTTTAATTACCAAGTCAGCCAAATTTTTGAGCCAAGATATATATTCTTAGTGAAATGTTGTCCAAAGCCAAATAAGTAATTTAGGACTTGGCTTGATTTGTATTCTTTGTCTTGTTTTTGTAGAGGTTTCTAGAGGAAGGAACCCCACTGCCGAAGAGGAGGAACAGAGTTGGTACGAGAAAGGTTTGCTGCCCTGCCATGCTCGCAATGAAGAAAGTTGTGCGCCTCCCGGACTTCAAGGTAAGAACATTTATTCATTTATTTATTTGAAAAGATGATTGGTGCTACAAAATCGGAGAATAGCGTTGAAAAGAGCCATACTAAAGCTTTTCGACTTGCACTCATCAGAGTAAAACGCAAGAATGAACAGAAAGCCCAAATCGATCAATTTAAACGGAAACTAAAAGGAACAAGGCAGGAATGTAACGAGCGCTGATTTGCTGTCTAAGGTAACGGTAAATTAGGCTTAATGCCAGTCTGCCATACCGGGATAATCACTAAAATCTTTAGTATGTCTCTTTTCAACGCTATTCTCTGATTTATTTATCTCTGATATGTATGCAGGGTGGCACATATCACCAACTTGGTGGTCTTCCATGAGGCCCTGTTTGGTAAGAATAAAACAAATAACAGCAGCAAAAACAAAATAGATAAATACACAAGCATATAAAGTGGTTGATTACAAATTAATTGGTATCCTCATGAAATGAAAGATCATCCACAAATTATCCTTGATCATTTACAAGAAATATGTAAACGAATTATGGTCACATGTGGGGAAAATTACAGAATACCCCCCCCCCCCCCAACACAACTAACACTAATCCTAATCAAGAACTCTATCCAACAAGTAACACTGTATGGTGTAACTCTAATCCTAATCCATTAGCTCTAGCGGTGACCCTAATGCCTCAGTCACACCTTTGAGTATTTGGCTTGCGTATTGCTGCGTATTTATGGCAAGCAGTTTTAACATTTATTCCTATTTCTTGATATCAAGAAATGATTTTCTGTTGTAAAGCAATGGTAGTTCTTGATATCATCTTTTTGACACCCTTTACTTTTATTCATCTGGTCTAGGCGGATGCACTCACACCGAAAAAGTGCCGAGAAGTCAGGGAGCTTGTCAGAACCAAGCTGCTAGAGGGGGAGGACGTGAGGAAAGAGATCCGTGTTTATATCAAGCTTCCAAAGGATGACGAACATGCAAAGCATGAGCTAGTCGAGGTTAGTATCTTCATGTAGATTATGTCATGTCGCAACCAGAATGTTGTTGTCTTGAAACATATTATTTTAGTTTGTCTGGGAGTACAATTGAAGAAAATTGAAGATTTGATGAAGGATTTCTTCTTTTTGTGTTTCCTTTGTGGAAGAACGTCAATTACAAATGACATATGTAAAGGATTGCACATGATATGTTCTAAACTTTGTTGAGAAATAGTTTCCCACTTACCAAATGTTTTCCAGAATTATGTATTTCTCTCATCAATTTACAAACAGTGCACAAAGTAGAAAATTTAATATGATAATAGCACATGTCAAATATGAGAATATTAACAAAAACTAATTTTATGAAAAGACAAGGGATGTAAGTGAGTGAGCCGGAGGATCAAAATTTAAGTTCTGTAAAGGGATTGGGTATCTTTGCCTCAGATTCTAAACAAAATCCTGGATTTAGCTCAAGCTGCAATCATAATTATGAACCTTTAGGTCATTCAGGAATCCCACGACTTTTACAAGCCGATCGCCTGTCTGATTATCAAGATATTTATGATTGGACAATCGAAATTTTAAAAACTGTTTTCCCAACAATTTTTTTAACACTATAGTCTATTGGGTAAAATGAGTGTGGTAAAACTGGTCACTCAAAGACTTTTACTTTTTTGAGGAATTACATGATCATTTTGAAGCACAATTTTGTTAGGGCTTCAATATTACACCACATCACAGACACTGATAACACGTAGGGCCATGCATCTTGGATTTGTAAAACTGGAAACATCATTAAATGATGCCTTCAAAAGATTCAACCCCATCGTCGCAAGAATTGCACTTGTATTTCTTATACCCCATTCACAATGGCCTCAAACACCGCGACAGCAGCGGGACTGTCCCGCTGCTGTCGCGGTGTTGTCTTCAGTGTGAAGGCTCGGACCCGTTATAAACTATCGCGGGATAACACCGCCTCGCGATAACGCCGCGACAAACTATCGCTAGGTTCGCCTAGCTACAGCAGCGGGACAGTCCCGCTGCTGTCGCGGTGTTTACTCAGTGTGAAGGCTCTCCGCTATAACACCGCGACAAACACGTGTGATTTGTTTACTTACCTATCACTGACCTCTTTTCTCCAGCAATGGGGAACATAAAGTGAAATAGAAATAAAGTAACCAGTGGATTCAAATTGATTTTATTATTATGTAGATATTATAATTATCCAAATAAAAATATTTCACACTTCAAAAAATTAAAATATTCTGACTGGAAGCAATAAAAATGCTAGTTTTTTAAAAAGTAATATGATCGAGGATACAAAAAGCTAGCTACATGAGGAAGAGTGTGTAAAGTACAGCTAGCGCGCGCAATTTCAAGCAATCGAAAACCCCGCGCTGAAGTATTTCCGGTCATATCGGGGTCACTCGCGGGTCATGAGCCATGCATACACGTGTTTGTTACGGAGGTAATAAAAATCACCCGCTGCAGCGTGAATGGGTACATGATATTTATCCCGCTGCTGCAGCGGGATAACTTTTCTACTGTGAATGCATTTGTAGCGGTGTTATGGCGGTGTTGCCGCTCCGCTACAACGCCGCTACAAATTTCAAAACCACTGTGAATGGGGTATTACAAGGTGTTGTGAAGTATGATTTTCTTGATTTTTTTTGGACTTGCTGAGTTTACATTTACATTTGAAATTTAATCTGTATTCTTTCTGGTATATCATGTTTACTATTCACCATGTAATGATGTTTTCATGTATATGTATGTCTTTATATGTAATTTTATGTTATGCAGGCCCCCCAAGTATCTTAACCACTGGTGGGGCTACCTGTTGAAATAAAAACAAAATAAATAAATAAATAAAAAAAGTGTGATGTTCGATTTGATTTCAATCTGGCTAGGAACCGAAGAAGAAACGGAAGAAGATGTTCAGGTACAACCAGAACTGCCCCAAGGCCACTCTGGAGGACATTGAAAAGGCTTACAAGGTTGTTCAGGAGAGCAAGCTCTGCGTCCGAACTCCCATGATGCATCACGCTCAAGACTGTCTGGGGCTGGACGTCGGGTGCGATCTGAGTCTCAAGCTTGAGAACATGCAGAAAACAGGTGGGTTGCTGTCCCTAATATGTGACACATGCTGTAATGAACGACTGTAATGAACGAATGAAAACATGCATCATTTGTTTTGTACAATGATTCTCCTACATGTAGATCCTAGATGTAACTGAGAGAAACAGGGTTTTGAACTGTAGAGCAAATGGGCTGATTTTTCTTTGGAGCAGAATAATTATGAACCGAAAGGTTGATTTGGAAAGCAATTTCAAGCAATTTTTTGAAGAATTATCTATCAAATTTAAAGCGGCATCAGTTTGAACTGAAATCTTACACTCAACTTGATAGAGCATTATTTCATTCCAATAAAATTAGAGGATCAATTTTACTCCCTGAAAGTGTTAGTGGATGATTCTGTACAACGTATCTTGTAGACCCATGCAACACAATGTCCTTACCCCACGTATTTCATCTAAAAATGAAGAATCTCTTGATGTTACCATGAAGAAGGGTACCTCCTGAGCCCTGTTTCAATTCATACAACTTTTTATCAATAACAAGTTGCAATAACTGTTATAAGCTACCGAAATCATTGCATTTCATTGGCTGAGAGCAAAATTGTTATAGAAATGTGACATTTGACATTGATAATAGGTTTTATGAAACGGGGGCCCAGGTATCACTACCATTTTAATAGTCATGGTCATATCAAGAGAATTATGGATGCAGTTGATGTGGATAAATGTCATATATATGTATGATTTTGAAATGTATATATGTGTATAGTTATATGTTTTATACCATCAACTAATAAGGAGCCTTCTACAGAAACTCAGTTTCTTTTGGTAATCCCCATGCATTAGTTGATGGCTTTTTTCTGTCATTGTATTTATTAATGTACTTTGTTTCTTGTATTCTTTGTTATTGTTATACTCCTTTATGTTCCTGGAAATGAAGTAAAATGAAAATGTAAATGAAAGAGACACATTGAACATTATCATCCTGATGTACACTGTATTGTGAGTTTCAGCACTAAAAAAAGTAAATCTATTGATTATTGAATGTTTATTACCAGGTTCATTCAAGGTGAGAGGACTAGCCAATCAGCTGGCTCACATTCCTCAGTACATGGCCAAAAGACAACTGGAACTAGTAACCATGTCAGCAGGGAATTATGGGAAGGCGTTCTCGTTTGCCCTTCAGGAGCTTGGTTATAAAGCAAGGGTGCTCATGCCTGATACAGCCCCGCAGAACAGGGAGGATACTATGAAGGTAGGTGCATGGAGTAACAGATTTACAAAGATCCTAAGTCAAATTTAACTCTTAGTTGGACTTGAACATTATGGAGAACCATTTGTAGCCTTAAAATGAAATATATTCAAAAGCAAAAATTCAAGTATTTTAGACTTTTTATAAGTTCCACATCAAGAACATGAATCTCCTTGATAATAGAAAATATGAATGATTTGAATCAACATTTTATGCCTTTTCAAATAACTTTTACAAAGTATTTTCAAAGACGCTAATGGCTTTCCATAAGTCCAACTTAGAGTTAAGTTCGACTTAGGATCTTTGTGAAACACCCCCTGGACTATTAACCATTTCAGGACAGGGATTTTATTAGGGCAATGTTTAAGCGATGCAACATTGAATTTGTGCAAGTTTGAGATTTTCACCATGCAGATCCGTGCAATGCCCTTTAAAGCCCACAAAATAGAAATACATTGTGAGCAATTCGACACTGAATTTTTGTAAATTGCATGAAAGTTTCTTGCTGGCATTTGTAGAGATGCCAACTGTTCCTTTTTTGCTGTATTTGTTTCGTTTTTTTTTCAAACGTTTTACTAATTTGCCCTGCACTATGTATCACATACGTGCCCAGGCCTAGCCCTGTACTGTTTGCACACCAAATGGCCATGCATTGTACGTTCAAAAGGAGATGTTTTTACTGCACAATGCAAGCTGTGTAATTCTGAATTCAACGTTTTACGTGGAGGTGCGAACGATATGCAAGCACACTTGCAACAGAAAAAGCATGACAGCTTGGCTTCAAGTGCTACAAGTTGTCAGGATCTTGGAAAATTGTTCAAAAAGACTGATTATTCAACAATCAGAGCATAAACACATAGCGATATGTAAAGGTGAGAGATGTTTTGTCAAAAAATACTGTTTTTTTTTCCTTCTAAGAATACTTGTTGTTGATGAAGGTTGACATCTCTGCATTTGTGCACAATATGCAAAAGTTTTGTAAAGAGCTTATTTTGCAGTTATTCTTCCTTCTTCTCCAGAGTTATGGAGCTGAAGTCGAAAGGCTACCCAGCGTTGAGCTGCAGCCCACTGTTGACCGCTATGTATCTGAAGAGGGCATGCACTATCTACATCCCTTCGATGATATACATTTGATATGCGGTCACGGAAGGTAATTATTAATTCTTAAAATATTGTTAAAGGGAATTATTATTTATTTTAATTTTATCTTAAAAATATTATCCATCGAGCAGTTTTAAAGTGTACCAAGCACTGTATTTTGTGTTTTGTTTTGTAAGGGTCAATAGGGTCAATGTAGCTGTATTATATAAAAATGATGAGCTTCAATGTACTTTTAGAAATAGGTAAGAGTAATGTATTTTTAAATACACTCCCGATGAACAAGACAAACACAAATATTATAAGTAACCTGAAGGAAGGTACAGTCAAACCTGCTTTAACGACCACATGTCTACAAAGACCACATTTTTTGTTTCCCTTGATTAAAGTTTTTCATTGAAACATTTACTAAAGGAACCTGTACCTAAAGATCACCTGCCTATAATGGCCACTTTTCTTGTCTCCGTCGGGTGTTCTTTATAGACAGGTTTCACTATATATTTGAAATGCAGTCATGTTCATTTCGTTTCCTGATACCTTATTCTTGCTTTCAGCACAGGTTTAGAGATTCTTGAAGAAGTGCCTGACCCCGATGTCATCCTTGTATGCTGTGGGGGAGGAGGTTTGCTGGCTGGAATATCCGCTGCTGTGAAACTCTCAGGCAAATCTCATACAAGGATCTACGGGGTGGAACCGGAGCAAGGTAAGACCGTCTGAGTTTGCACAATTCTAAGGTTGTGCGTAGGCTTTGGCAACAGATGATAGTATCTTGTTATTTTATCAAATAAAATCAAATGAAACATTTTCAAATTCTCACCCTTAAATTAAAAGCTAAGCCTCAATAAATTAAATTGAATTTACTTTTTGATTAATAGTATAATTTACATAGTTTTGTAATTCTGTCCAAAAGCTTTCCCTGAAATCAAATTAACTAGGAGAAAAGTCTTTTAAGCTTAATTACCTAAACTATAACATTGACATTGACCTTAATTATTTTAATGATTCTTTTCCTTTTTTTTCAGCCTGTCTTATGTATATGAGCAAGCAGTTGGGCAAGGTCGTTCAAAATCCTTCAGTTCATTCTATCGCCTCTGGATTAGCTCCTCCTTATGCAGGTAAGTTTGACCCCTCGATTGAACCTCTAGATTTGCATTTGAAGGTCAAAGGTCATGGGTAAAAAAAAAGACAGTTAACTGCACAGTTCGAAGTCACACAAGTTGAATTTTTCCCAAGTCAGTTTTTTTGACCAAACTATGCAAAACGTGCTATTTACACTTGCTAGGTCGAATTTCGCGTAAGTCTAACTAATTTTTTGCAGTCGCAACAAATTGGACTTCTTCAGAGTTAACTGTAGTAGTATTGGCAGCTGGGTATTGCTTGGTTTTAATATGCGCATGAGTTATTCACATGTACATGTAGGAAACAGGTATTTTGTACCAGTTTGGTATAAAGACTTAAAACAGAAGTTTGCTGCTACATGAAATTTAGGGAACAACACACTGCACACCTCAACGAATGAGAGCACATGTTATGTACATGGGCTGGATTACTTCCTGAATTTCCTTTCTTTTCTGTGTCCTTTTTTAGCTACCATACATTTTCTTCCAAAATTTTTTGGCAAATGTCATTCCTTTTTATTAGTCTTTGAATATTCAGTGTGACTTCATTTGATTCGTTTACAGACTATATAGGAGAATTCTCTGTTAACATCAAGATGCCCAGTTGTTTTGGATATCATTCCATTTTTCCAGTTAGAGAAAAGCCGGGGAATTTTAACAAATAGCATCTGGAATTTGATTATTTTGAATATAACATTATAGTCTTTTATATTGTGTCTTGCGTCTCGTACAAATCTAACAAATTTCATGTTGCAAAAGTTTATAGATGTATGTATTGTATTGTATTGTATTGTAATTATTAAACTTCATTGATGTACATCAGTATTCTGTTTATAAACATACGAATCAATTTATAATGCAAGGTAACAAATCAATATTATGTTTGTAAACATATATATTATATAAATCAATTTACAATGCAGTGTATATAGCAAATTTGAATAAAAATTATATACAGCAGAAACACTTGTTTTTCTGCTTGTAATAACATGACATGTAATGCATGAAGTAAATAATATAATGTACCATAATACACCCGAAGATTTAGATATATAGAACATAGCAATTTTTAAATAAATTATAACTCATGCTATACAAAATAGGTAATGACGTACATGGAATGCCTAAATAAATGACGTTATAGTACTTATACATTCATATATGCAACCTACTGTAAAATAAAACCAACATAAGATTGTAAATTATTACTTTGTCATTATATAGTATCTTAAAGTTACCCCTCACTGCAATTATGTTTTTGGTGAATGAAGAGAAAATGTCTATGTACAATACCTTCAAATCAAATGCTTCTTTCTTTCACAATCATCAGGTAACAATGCCTATCGACACGTCGCCAAGTATGTAGATGACATCCTGTTATTAAGCGAGGCGGAGATCATAGCCTCTGTCTCCCGTCTTTACCATGCTGGCCTGGTGGTGGAGCCAGCGGGGGCTGCAGCCTTTGGGGCGCTTCTCTTCGATAAAGTGCCCGACGTCAAGGGCAAGAAGGTGGTTGTGGTGATCACCGGGGGCAACGTCTCTCCTCAAGAACTTTGCAACATTGTGCAGACAACGCCATTACAGGATCCATCGGATGACGAGGTTGCAAGAAACAATTTGGACCAGCAGAAGAGTGTCTCAGTTAACAATGAAGTGCAATATTATGAAGAGAACGTCGTTACAGGATCTGTCCAACATTGTGAAGACAACGTCGCTACAGTGTCTATACAATGACGGGGGTTTGAAGAAACAATTTGGACCAGCAAAGACAGAATGTCTGAGTACCAATGAACTGCAACATTGTGAAGACAACGTCGCTACAGTGTCTATACATTGACGGGGTTTGAAGAAACAATTTGGACCAGCAAAGACAGAATGTCTCAGTACCAATGAACTACAACATTGTGAAGACTACGTCTTTACAGGATCCGTGCAACGACGAGGGTTGTAAGGAACAGGTTGGACCAGCAAAGACAGAATGTCTCAGTGCCAATGAAATTCAACATTTACCATTTTTGATTTAGTTCATTATTTAAGGAAAAAATATTATCTAAAAGATCATAATTGAGAGACCAATGGTGAAAGAAACAAATGGCATGAACAGCCTGCCATAGTTAAGTCTGACTTAAAGTCGATCTTAGTCTTTGTGAAACACCTCCCTGGTGAACTGTGCAACATTGTTAATACTGAAGTGTGGCAGGATCTCACAACGATACAGATTTTAGTTCTTGATGCAATGTGTGATAGCGTTCAAACAACATTATAACAGAATCTGTACATTATTCAAAGAAGATTTTCAATAAACTATGACAGCATTTTTCAGTGCCTTATATTAGGTAAACCATGATCTTGGTCATCTGCACCTCTATTTTTCTTTATTTTCAGCACAGAATGCAATTTTCTAAATGAAATTAAGGTAAATGTAAATAATTTATATTGATAAGAAGACAAATATATCATCTTGTAAAGCTGCCCAGACAACTTCAAAAGCCCATATAATGACATATAAATATAAATATAACCCTATTTTTTGCTTTATATAGACATTCACAGACTCTCTTCTCAATGCAGTAACTTGTCCTTATGTGTAATGGGTGGTCCACGACAAGTCAGGAATAACTGATTTGTGTATAAGAATGCTTTTATATTTTACTGAGATATGTATGAACAAGTATGTACAAATGTTATAATTTTTATTACAATAAAATAAATTTTATTTGTGCTTCATAGTGTATGTTGTGATTTACTGGTAGTGTTTTGTCAAAATTAGGAATGGGAAAACATATCTTTCTTTTTCTTTTACAATAATGCCAAAATGATCAATAAATTTTCAACTTATATACTCGAAAGGTTTTATAACAGTATTATGTAATATTCAAAAAGCAAGAAAAACAAAGATTTATCATATTATGGGGTATTAATACCCTTTGCCACTCCCCCTCTTCCTAAATTTTGGTTTTGTATTCTCCAAAGGACCCTTCAGAGAATACAAAAGAGGAGAGATTTTTTCTTAATTTCTAAACAGTTCTACTCCGCTCCAAAAAAAAGCAAGAGAGAGAGAGAGAGAGATTAGAGAGGAGGGAGTGGGGGAGGGGGGAACCTGACAGAAATTTTGCACACTCCATCTTATCATCCATTTTGCAGAAAATTGATAGTTTTTAGAAAAAAAGTATGTAACTTGGATATCAAAACTGAAGTGAACTGAAAACCAAGGGTGTATATAGCCAATATGTTAGCTCTTTTGGTATTCATACCTTTTTCTCTTTTTAATTTTCTCCTCCTATTTTCTAACAAAACACTTTATTCCAATGCACTATATACTACCCTATCAATTTTTTTTAAAGAAAGAAAACAGATGAAACTCGACCTCTGAACTCGAAGCGGACAACATATATCGCAGAAGTCACAATTATGTATTTTTTTTCTCATTGAAAAGTGATATTTATTTACAAATCTGTAATGTGACGATCATAATTTCACATAGAACACTTCTTTAAAACAAAAAGAATCAATGAAAATAAGCAAAGTGTAAAATATAATGAAAACAGAAAGAGTAATAATAGTACCCCGAAAAGTTGACAATTCATCAAATACCCTCTTTTTTTAAACAACAAACAAGTAATGCAACATCGATTTTAACTCATTTTTTTTTCTCACTTGAAATAAACCCTGATCGAAGTAAGCATATGCATAACAGAATACGGTCAAGCGAAACAAAAAAATGGCCACTGTAGACAGGTGGTCTTTCTGTACAGGTTCTTCAACACACATTTCCTGTAGAGGGAGGCATTATAGGTGACCACTATAGACGGGGGGGGGGGGGGGGGGGGGGGGGGGCTTTACAGAGAGGTGGCCACTAAGTCATGTGTGAATGTACAAATTGATTTTTTAAGTGAATTACACAGAGAATAATATTTTGTGCTTTATGCAAAGACCAATAGAACGTGTACCCTTTACATTGGCTATAGGCATACATTGAAATTACACTTTTACAGAAAAGTCTGAAAGAGGAAAATCAACACTGATTTTTTACCATAACTAAATTAGAGTTTGTTTTTTTTCTTCACTATATGATCCATTTTGTTGATGCAAAGACAAATACAGCTAGTAACCCCTCCAAAATGACATTTTTTGTGTGGTGATGATTTAAAAAGAAGATCAAGATTGCCTCATCACAATTACTAAAAGTGAAGGTTTTTTTTGTGGATATCATATCAAACAGAATTGTTACAGGTACATGCAAAGCAACATAGTTCCAATTATGACTGCAATGTTGCTTGGTCTATTCAAACTTAACATCAATCTTTAAGAACAATTTACATGCCGAGGTTGGCTGAGACATAGTACCTGTGAATCTTCCAAGCTACATTCAACTTGTCCCCTGGCCGTGCATATTCATAAGGACTATTCAAATTATCCCCTGGCCGTGCATATTCATAAGGACTATTTAAATTATCCCCTGCCGTGCATATTCATAAGGACTATTCAAATTATCCCCTGCCGTGCATATTCATGAGGACTATTCAAATTATCCCCTGCCGTACATATTCATAAGGACTATTCAAATTATCCCCTGCCATGCATATTCATAAGGACTATTCAAATTATCCCCTGGCCGTGAATATTCATGAGGCAAGAAATCAATGCTTGATAAAGTAGAGCTCCTTGCGACGAAGATATAATACTGGAGTACAGAGATAATCAGACAGGCTTGTGAAAGTCATGGGATTTCTGACAGACCTAAATCTGTATTATTATGATTTCAGCATGAGCTAAATCCAGGATTTTGTTTCAGAATTTGAGGCAATGTTATAGAGTCACTTTAAAACTCCTTGTAAGAACATTTATTTAAACTGTTGACGAACCAGATTGTAAACTGTATGTTATAACATGACCCAACACACGTACATGCAGAATACTTGTGCACAGAAGTAGTAAGTGACAAATATAAATTAAGATTGGTGAACATTTGATTAAATAATTATTTCTGTCCTGCCGGCCAAATTAATTAAGAATTAACTTCTGATTACAACTTCTTCCCCTTCCAAATCTTCTTCCTCAAATTTCTGGTTTTGTTGTCTATAGCAATGACTTCCCTTGCCCAGGCAGTCTCAATGTCCTCTGCCTTCGTCTCCATGATGTGCACGAAGATGGACTTCAAGATGGATCTAAAGGATGGTGCCCATGAGCCCCTTTCTTGTTACACAGGAGCCTTAATAATTAATTCTTAATTCTCTATGCGCTTTACATTAAAAGAGTATGCTTTACAATATACATCAACATATATAAGAGTTCCACCATGTTTCACTATTAGGGACTTTTAGATTTGCACGAAGACAACGTGGATTGTTACGATAGACGTCATTTTAATGCGGCACTGCCTTGAATGGACGTCACACGTATCAGTACACGCAAATCTAAAAGTCCCTAATGTAATGCCTTGTATTGGTAACTCAATACAATAATACAAAAATATCTTCAAAAGGCTAAACAAAATATCACTTCATGTTGTTTGAATACATTTAGTAACTACAGTGGAACCTCATTATAAAGACCTCTGATATTTAAGGTATCTGTTTAAAAAAATGATTTTGATGGTACCAGCTCTTTATATTCTAATGTTTTTTTACCCTGATATAATAAGGTAATTTCCTTGGGCAAGTACCTCGTTATAACGATTTTCCACTGTACTTTCAACCGCATTTATCAATTTTCATGGCTATATAAATGTAGAGGTGCCGTGGTCTAGTGGTTACGTCACTGAACTGTGGATCACATGGTTTGGGGTTCAAGTCTGGCCAGAGTGCTCACCAAGGAGTGTAGTATGTGCACTGTCATGTGTGGATTAGCAATGGAATCAAATTACCGGGGTAATAATAGATACAAAGTATGGCGCTTAGAAATGTAGAAGTAAGAGCTATACAAATATGACTATCGTTTTTATTAATATTATTATTATATTCTTTGTTGTCAATTTTTTTTTAAAAAACATTGTTTCACTGTCCATACTGGTTCAATAAAAGAAGGGAAATGCACAAAATCTTGATATCCAAATTCCATTCACTTGCAAAGCAGTAGTAAAATCCTGGCAATAATGAATCTTACAACCCCTACGCATCAAATATTGGTACACGTACCAACAGAAGCACAAAATTCAGCCCCCGGACTGTGGCGCATATTTTTGAAAGAATAAACCAATATCATCATCATTATTATTATTATACAAAATATATTTGCAACGATGAAGACAAAGTTATAATAATGCATAAGCCTTACGTATAAAAAATATTTTTTTCTCTTTTTTTTTCCTGATATATTTTTTTTTCTTCATTATGGCTAAAATGCAAATTAAAGAGGTTACCTATTAAGAGAATGACGTTGGAGGGGACTTAATTCTTAAGTCTTAATTTCATGTTTCTTTCATATGTGATATGATTTTTTTCCATGTGATGGGGAGGGGGAGAGAAGGATAAAACAATGATTTAGGTTTTTGCATGAAATTACCAGCAAAGCATAAAATTGCTTTGCTAGAGCACTCAAGATTAAAGATTAAACATTGTAAATACACGCCTGAACCCAAATGTATTTTGGAATTTATTCCAAACACTTCCACATTTCAAATGTAATTAATTGCGTGTACATTGAATATCAACACAAAGCATGGCATAAGAACAAAAAACAAAGTTCACCATCTTTTGGTGACCATAAACCAAGTTAGCATAGTCATGAAACTCATTTAGAAGGTCTAAATTGAAATCTTTTATATACAGCTAACACATTTCATGTGCAATTGCATCTAAACTGAATCACAAGATACAAACAAAAATAACTAGAATCGAGCGATCATCAACTGTTTAGGAAGTCATCAAGCTCGTTTAGGAGGTCATCGTCTTCCTGATGCGTTGCTATGGTTACGGGCGGGGCGCTGTCGAGATCATCATCATCATTCTCCTGTAGGAAGAGATGGAGATCAGCGTCTGTAACACTGGAGTGACGAGCGATGGACGGTTTGGCTTGGGTTATCCTATAAGGTATCAATGAGAGATGAGATAATAATGATTTATGCTGCTTCAAATAATTTGTATTTGTATTTCTTTTTAACATTTATTTCCTATTCAATGGTACAATATGAAACACAATGTATATATAAATAATATATGTAATAATGATTTCAACATAGAGTATACAGTAAATAATTCAGATAACAGAAGGAGGTGAAAAACCCCAAAAGCATAGCTTGAGTTTGGAACGCCCAAAATAAGTTAACACAGTTACTGAGAGAACATTATAGATATTATTATGGAAATTACATATTGTATAACAACGTTGATAGGAAAGAAAAATAGTAAATGGAAGACAGACTGAGAGGAGAATTAAGTATAGGAAGGCATGTTCACCTTTAAAGTAGGTTGACAAGTAAATGACAAAGTACTACAATTCTAAAATAGACAGCACGTACATATCATTAAAAACAAGCAAAATCAACAAACAGACCGCAGCTTCATCCCACAACATTGTCCTGGGGAATATACAGATGGGACCTAGCAACAGCTGAGGCGCGTACAAAATAACTAGAATTTGTGTCTCTTAAAGATAAAGACCAGTTATGGTCATGCGATTGCATAGTGAAAGAAACGTTGTGGAATCGATCAGAAAAGGTTGACATCTAGCAGATAAGTATTGGTGTGTACTGCAAGGTTCTGGAATCATCAAAATGATAAGAAATTTGGCCCAGTCTTCGTAAAGTTACAAGCACTGTACAAAGAAAGATGTATATGGGACTATGCACACGTGCGCGACACATGCGTTTATCTCTCACATACCAATAGATAAACTAATTTACCAAATACATCGATTAGTAGGCGGTTTCCCGGCAAAATTTTTATCATCATGTATTAGTCAAAACATATTCTTTCACATGATTGGTAATTTTAAGAGCTTCCATTTCATTTTTTGAAATTGGGGCCTTTCCAATACTGGTCTTTACCTTTAAAGGGGCTGTGCTATCGGTAATAAACTAAGTGAAAGTGTAACTAATGTTGAACATGATGTCTTTAAATATCAATGTAGATGAAATTCTGAAATCACTATCAGATTTACCTTTTGAAGAGAGTCGCCTGGTCCATAAGATTCAACAAATAATAAAAATAATAATAATATCAAATATTTAGGAGCGCTAAAAACAGTACCATAGCGCTAAAAAATACAAATATATGAAAAGAGGACAAAACATGTATAGTCTCACATGAAGTAGATCACATGGATCACTTGGGGAAAAAGGTAAGTTTTGAGGGATCTTTTGAAGATGGCAAGACAGGTAATTTCCCTTATGGAAAGAGGGATGCCTGATGCATTTCGCTAACCTATTGTTGGAGTTTGAATTTAAAATATGGAATACTTACACAACTTCAGGTGGTGTTACAGTTGATGTGGTATCAGGCTCAACTTGAGCCACAACCTCTGGAATGTAGACATCTTCTAAGCTGCTAGCTTCAGGCACTACTCGGCTCACCCTGCTCTCCTCTTGTACTGGTCGGCTAACTTCAGGCTCTTTGCTGAACTCTCCTGTAGTCGTTGAGACAGCTGCAGAGATCGGTACTGATGATGATGGTTGAGGTTGGGCTTCTGGTTGGACGGACTAAACATGGAGGAAAACAAAAACGAGATGAGATTGAGCATCAATTTATTACATCAATATACAGTCAAACCTGCTTTAGAGACCACCTGTCTACAAAGGCCACATTATTTGTTTAGCTTGAAAATGGTTTCTGGAACCTGAACATAAAGACGACATGCCTATATAGACCACTTTTCTTGCCTCCCTTGGGGGGTCTTTGTAGACAGGTTTCACTCTAGAGTGGTGAAGTGTGACGTCATCAAAAAACTACTTTTAGAATTTCTCAATTTTTTCTTCATTTTCTGAAAGAGCATCTGGTTCATAACATTACGAGCCAGAGCAATATAACACTAAGTTCCTATAGGAAATCTATTTATTCAGATGGTCATATCTAAAGCCAATACTTAACATATTCATTTAGTTTTCAACATTTGGAAATTATTTTTGATGCTCTTTCAGAAAATGAAGAAAAAATTGAGAAATTCCCAAAATAGATTTCTATGATGTCACAGCTTCGGTACTCTATATGTTGGTCGAGTATCAATTTCACATGAATACATCTTGGTTAACCATATTCTTAACATCAAAAGTTCTAATATTTAGAAAGGTTGACTTTTGTCAACAATTGTTTTAAATGCCCTAAATGTTTGTATGTATTTACTACAATATCAACAAGTCTTAATGACCAGGGTGCTACACAGATATCTCACATGCAATACAATCACATGCATCTCATCTTTGATTTCTTCTGTTTTTGACCATTGTGATTTTTGAAGCAGTTTTCTCTCTCTGTGAGAATGGGGTATGCATGTATGATTCACAATGAATACTAAGATATTCAAGAAGTCCCACCAGTCTGATCCCTTCTTACCTGTATATTAGTGCCTGTACTGTTAGGGTAAGACTGGGTGTTTCCCTGAGATGTGTTAGACACCTGTCTTCCTCTCCTTCTCTGTAGTGGCTTTCTTGTAAGCTTGGTTCCTAAAAAATCAAGAAAACAAAAACAGTGGATTTCTTTATATATTTAGTTTCTGGTAATGAGATATAAATTCACAAATTCTCGAATGAGACTAAAACCAAATGTTTAAGAATGAAAGTGTGAAGTAGTGAATAGTAGTTTGAGTTTGGAGCAGTTAAGTACAAAAAAAAGTTAATACCACAATGAAGATGGAAAATGTAATTGCAATTTTCAGTAAGGGCAATGTCCCTGTAACATCATAAACTTTCAACTAAATGAAACTCTTGGGATTTAAATCGGTGGACTGGATTAACAAAAGTTGTATGAAGGCTACTGATTGAATTAAAATAACAAAAAAACAATTCTGGCCTAAAAACAGTCACAATTGTCAATCAGGAAGTTTAGTGTCCCAAAAGTTTCTGCGTTTAGACATACAGCTACTTGATACATACCTATGTTAGTTGATGATATCCTTGCAGCTTGGTTGACTGGTGCCGACTCCCAACTTGGGCCAGCATCCCTATCCGCTCCTGTAGTACATGTAGCTGAAGAAAGGTTACTAGTCTCTGGCTCCTGGACTGGTAAACTATCAGTTCTCTCACTACCTTCCTGTGCTGAATCCTGTGCAGTAACTTGTGAGACTTGAGTGGCACCAGTCTGCTGCTGCTCCCTGAGTTGCTTCTCTCTCCTGATCTCAGCCAGAGTCTTGATCTTGATCTGAGAGGCGGATGCGGAGTCTGCCCTCGAGGTCACCTGACCACCAGGCCGCTTAACGATTGGCTTGGAGAGGGCGTCGTCCGACGAAGAGGCCGTGTTCCATAACCGCGCCCTTCTTTCTCGGCGAATTTCGTCCAAGCTCTTTATCTCTTCCTCGACTATTGTAAGAATAAATGAAGCCCATTTTTTACAGGAGGAAATGCAAATTGTATCTTACAGTAGTGATCCAACATAAGATCTGACTACAATTACTCAAGGCTTACTTTGTTAGAGTAAAGGTCACATTTAGATTTTAATTTAGGTTCAGGGTTAGTGATAGGTATAGTCTTAGGTCTTTGGCTAATATTAGGAAAGTTGAAATTGACCATGAACCATTTTTCGTCCATTTTGTTCACAACGCAGTGTTGTTGCATTCTTAATTATTTTGTTTCCCAGTGAATTTGTCTTTTTTCAAGGTTCATATTCGCCACTAATTCATGCAAAATGAGGACGTGCAATTCATATACAGCAATCATGGAAAATTTGCTCAACCGTAAGTGTACAAGATAAAAAGCCTCACACAAATATAAATAAACACTACTAACTTGACAAATAACAAAATTACAAACAACCGATAGCCAGTCTTCCGTGTTCATTGTGGTGGAGCCACTGCATGAAATTTCCACAATAACAATAATGTCATATTGAAGACCGTTAAAGCCTATCTGCACTAGTTTGGCCAGGAGGGATTAGATGGTCACTAATGGTCACTGACAGGTGTTTATCAAATCAGCTCTCAATTAACATAAGAAAAAGGGAACCATGTTGGGACTAATGGTCACCAATTAGGCATTGTTTGCTATATAGAGGGCGCAAGTAGATTTAGGTAGTGCAGTGGGGCTTTCATACTATACCTTTTGTTGCTGTTTTCTTTTCTTTCACCGGCGACTCCTCTGTCTTGGCTTTTTCAGGGGAGCGGCTCCAGATCTTAGATCTTCTCTCCCATCGCTTGTCCGCCTCTTTCCTGTTCCTCTCCTCTTCCTTTATCTCCTCGTTCTGCTCTTCGCTTCCGGACGCTCCACTCTCTTCGCTGGACATGTCAGCCTTTTGACTGAGCCGTTGCTTTTCAGCTCTGATCTCAGCTAGACTCTTGATCTAGTGATCATAAAAATAACAAAGTAATGAACATTACTAATGATCATAAAAATAACAAAGATAGTACATTACTAATGATCATAAAAATAACAAAGATAGTACATTACTAATGATCATAAAAATAGCAAGGATAGTACATTACTAATGATCATAAAAATAACAAAGATACATGTAGTACATTACATTTTGACCTAGACTGCTGCAAAATACACAAATGTGAGCCGCTTTCTGTTGCAGTATATTTTACACAAATGAGAACTATTTAAAATATAATATACATGTATGCATTAAAATCTCTGAAGGCAGTGCATATTGGAATTTCTTTTTTTTTGCATTTAGCCTTTCACAATTTCACTTGAACAGGTTCATAGATGGAATATTGTGTCGCTAGAATATAAGTGTGTGGGGATCTACCATTCAACCTTTGCATTTCAAGTCAAGTGCTTAAAAACCACTTGACTATAGGCCTGTCTTCATCAGTTCAAGATTGCCAAATAGCCTGCTTTTTTTGATTTTACAAATAATCCCGAAGTTACAAATGGCGTTTTCATCAGCTCGAGATTTGACCTCATAACTTGAAACATGAGCTCGAGAAATTAGCTTGAGATATGAGTGCAAGCCTTCGGCTGGTGAAGAAGCACCGGACAAATAGCGGGATATTTTGCAAACTAGCCCAAGATATCTCAGGATAACTATCTCGACCAAATATCCCGCGAATTGCAACTTCGGGCTGACGCAAATTAACTGGAAAATTTGCGATCGGGATAGTTCAAATAGCGGAATATTTGGCAATCTCGAGCTGATGAAGACAGGCCTTATGACACTCTGCATCATCTACTGACCTTGATTGCTGGAGCGTCATCCTTGGTTACGTCTTTCTTTTGTTTGATAACGTTGAGGACCGAGGCGGTTCCCTTGTTGGCATTCTCTACAGACTTACTGAGGTTCAGACGACGTACCTTAACCGCTGGCTTCTCACTCACCTAGAGACGTGGACGAAGACATTTGAAATTTGTGAGGTTTTGTTTCCCTTGAAAATGGTTTCTCAATGAAACATGTGCTAAAGGAACCTGTTATTAGAGTCCACCTGCCTATGAAGACCACTTTTCGTATCACCCTTGGGTGGTCTTTATAGACAGGTTTCCCTGATTGTTCAATATAGATGTTTGTTTTTTTTTTTTGGGGGGGGGACTGTGTTGCAAATTACATTAACAAGGTGAATATGGTCAACAAGATATTGGTAAAAATTGTCAGCAAAAATGATCAAAGTCTTGGCTATATATTCTTTTGCTTCAAGACTTTGTTCATTATTTCAATTCCTTTTTTAGTGTACCCCAAAGACTGACAGGTTCTGATGCAAAGCGTTTCTAACTTTTTTGTTTTTATGCACATAAACTTGGGGAAATTGGTGAGATTAAAGTAATTTTATATTTGGGGATAGGGAGGAAGCTATGATGCAAAATGAAGCAAAATCTCAGCAACATTTGTGTGTTTTTCTTTGACAGAGGGGACAGTTTGTGTTCCATTTTCTACAGACTTCAAGATGTGCACACTGCCTAAATCAATGCTCCCCTGCCCCTTACAACTTTCCAACTGTAGAAATAAGCTTGTGTTTTAATAGGCTTAAGCCATTCACGATACTATTTTGTTACCAGAACTCTACAGACTAACTTTATCAAGTTCCATGAATATTACATATTTCAAAGCTTCTTACCTTTTCAGTGTCTTCACCGCTGTCTATGGTTATCCGTTGTCGTATAACAGATCCCTGGTTCTCTTTCGAACCTGCAGAATAAAATGAAGTTCTTGTCTTTGAAACTTCTTGTCTTTGAAATTTCTTTAAATACCTTTACACAAGGAAAATAAGCTCAGAAGAGGTGTCAAACTCTCTGAAAATACACAGTAATGAACAGTGCTACATGTTGTATTCTATCAATCTTAAGCCTATTGTAATGCACACTTTACATGAAATAAAATGTGGGGGGAGGGGGGAATAAGGAGGTGTACAATCCTCTCCAATGTCCATATCGAAATGCTATATCAGTTTGGTACACAAAATCAAACCAAAACAAAGTATTGTTATTATTATTATTTTTTTTTTTTTTTTTTAATGATACTGGTGCAACTTGTTATGCTAAAAAATTAGACCATTGTTTGGATTTAAACTTCATTGGTGACTAATGTCATATATAATGTGTACTTAATTTCAATTTTGGCGTTACATTTGCCCTTTCATTTCTTTATTTTCTTATTGTTTATCCTTGATTTGTTACTCTCTTTATTTGTCCTTAAGCTATATTTTTACCAGTCTTCTGAGTGCATCAGTTGGTTTGGGGGAGGAACCATTACGATTACAATGATTAAGTTTGCTCTCTTCTTCCCTGGGCGCCATCTTTTACACTTAGAATATTGCTACAAAATTTGTCTTTGTGTAATTTTGTTCTCATTTTGTAATCACCATGATTATATTGTCATATTTCTTGAAAGTGCAGAATAAATAATAAATAATAAATATCTAGACATAAATCAGTTCATATTGTACCTCTAGCACTAGCAGCTCCTGGTGGCTTATAGAGAGCAATTTCTCCTCTCCTCTTATTCCTTCTCTCTGCAGCAGACAGGACTCCTTTTCTTTGAGCTCCTTGCACACTGTCTCTGTCTGGAGCCTCACGAGACTGGGATGAGACTGGTAGGCGGCTTTGCTTCGCTTGTCGTATCTCAGCAAGAGTCTTGATCCTGAAATATGAATTTTTAATCAATACTACTGAGCTGAAAAGATATCATCATCACCATCTCATAATCATCACTATCACCATCATCTTCGTCACAATTACCATCGTCATCAAAATCATTACAATCATCATCATCATTATCGCTATCATCACTATCATCACCACCACCACCATCAACATCACCATCACCACCACCAACACCACCAACTTCACCATCAGCATTGTAATCTCTACCGATTTCATGAAATGTATAATATTTTGGCAGTTGTCTACAACTTCTTGATATTCCACTTCTAGAAAACTTTGAGTCAACTTCCATACATTTCTTAAGACTTACTGAATCTTTTCTGGTGCCTTCTCCTCATCACTCTCGATATCAATATCACTCAGCTCCTCCTCCTCCTCGTCTTCCTCCTCATCTTCCTCTTCCTGCTCTTGTGAAGATGATTCCTTCTCCTTGTCTGAAGCCCAATCCTCACTTTCCGAGTCTGAGACGGCATTTCCGAGCCTCCTCAAGAGTTTGTCCCTCTTGATATCTGCCAAACTTTTTACCATAATCCCAACTCTGGGATTATCTCCCTCACCAGCCTCAGACAATGGCTTGCCTAACCTAGCAGTAAGCCGTCCTTTCCTTTTGGCTGGATCAACAGAGCTATCGCCAGCTGCATCTGCTACAACAGCAGAGAAAACCTTTCCCAAACGACTTGCTAAAGATGTCTTCTTGATGGCAGAAGATTCATGGACAGCAGTCTTCGAGTCTTTGACGTCTTCACCAGTTCTTATAACCTGTCCCAATCTGGCTGACAGACGCCCTCTAGGGCCACTTGAGGAGGAAACCTTATCCTCGACCCGGTCGTTGCTTTCGGCACGCTTTCCCAGCCGATCTTTCAGTCGGTCCATCTTCATTTCCGCGACAGTCTTGATCTTGATGGAGTCCAGTCCTGCCGAGGTCTCTGGATCTTTCCTTGGCACCCTCTCTCCACCTCCACCCATCATAACCCTTCGTGTCAAGGTCTTCTTTGGGGCTTCCTCCAGCTGGTCCTTCTCTGCTTCAGGGTTTCTTCGCAAGACCTACAGAACGCAACAATGAAAGCATGAGATGAACCCAATCACAGCAAAAAAGTGGAAGTTACAAACTGATTTAGCCGAGGACGCAGGTTTGAAACCGAGTCACGTCTTTCGGATGGTGATGTTAAAGGTCGGTCCTTAGACGTAAATAATAGAAGAAGATTGTAATAATTCTGAGCATGTATAAGTTTTTTTCCTCCTCAAGTTCAACATATAAATATTTGAAATGTTTTGAAAACCTTGTACAATTTTCTACATGTACATCATCTTTAAAATTTGAACAGTAGGAAACTAATGAATGAAAACTTAGACTGAAACCAATCCTTCTACCCCCGTACCGACATCAGCCGGTTGCAAAGAATTTGTTTGCATACTGGCTCAAAACCTGTTTACAGACTGCCTCAAAAATCATTGAAGTTAATGATACTGTACAGGGGTACACAATCACATACTCGTACCTTGAGCCGCTTAGCGATGTTCCCTGTCTCTTCATCTTGGTCTAGACTGCTTCCCAGCCTCTTAAACCTATCCTCTCGTAATTGGGCTAGACTCCTCACTCCAGGCTGTTGGACACGCTGAGAGACATTCACGACCTTTGGAACCCCTGTCTCTTGATCCTCTTGGTCTGGCCTGCTTCCCAGCCTCTTGAATCTATCCTCTCGTAATTGGGCTAGACTCCTCACTCCAGACTGTTGGACACGCTGAGAGACATTCACGACTTTTGGAACCACTGTCTCTTGATCCTCTTGGTCTGGCCTGCTTCCCAGCCTCTTGAATCTATCCTCTCGTAATTGGGCTAGACTCCTCACTCCAGGCTGTTGGACACGCTGAGAAAGACTCACAACTTTCTGACTGACAGGTTTCACCAAATGCTCCTCTATCTTTGTTTTGCGAGAACCTATACCAACAAATGATGGGGAAACAAAGAGATATAAATTCTACAAAGCAGTCTCACCAAACATTTGCCTTTAAGAAAATAAGTATCATAAACAGATTAAACTGAATATCAAATTTGAATGTCTAAAGTGCCGTCTGTTTCAGTCAAATAACAGGTCTATCAAAGTTACAAGGTCATATTGCCTGCTAAGAGTATTAAACCCATTCCTATGTCATTAAACACACAATTTGTGCATACAAATCAGCGGTACCAAGGATATCTCATTAATGTCACATGTCTATCATTATTTATGCATTCTCTTGATAAACGTTATGGATCGGACAATCTTGTTACATAGAATGTGGAACAATAAAACAATAAATATAAACAATAATAAATAAACTCCCATTTTGATGAGAGATGTATTTAAGCAACTCATATTTCTGCATAAAGAGTCTCTGATATAATGTTAGTTAGTTAGTTAGTTTATTTCTTTATTAAAAAATCACACCCGTCATCAGACGGCCGGCCTAAAAAGGCCTATGAGTGATACATCAAAAATAACAGTCATAAACAATTTGACATGATAACATAGTACAAATATAAGTATAACATAATTACAATCACAGGGAAAAAAAAAGAAAAAAAAAAAAAAAAAAAAAAAAAAAAAAAAAAAAAAAAAGAAGAAAAAAAAAAAAAAAAATGCGAAACTAATTTTCTTATAGTTACTACTCAAATTGGCAACAATCCTCAAATCGGATGACTTACTGTTGTTACTGACAGCAATTATTCTCCTCGACGAAGAAAGAAACATCTGTTCTTCTTCTTGTTCTATATCTTCTGCATCTTCCATCTCTATATCCTCCTCCTCCTCTTCTTCCACATGCCCTCTCTCTAAGTTCTTCGCTCTGCGTATTTCAGCCAGAGTCTTGATGCCAAACGAACTAGGCTTTTCTGCTTTAAAAATCCAATTTAGCAATTGACATGAAGCAACAAGGAGTAAGAAATTAGTTTTTGCTTTACTTTCCCCATTAGCTTGAGTTATCACAATCTCAATCTAAGAACTTAATTCATTAAAAATTATCAAAATTAAGCAACTTTGGACGCCTGGGATAATGATATGCTATCAACATAAAGCAGAGTAAACAAATGAAATGTTATTTGTTGGTTATTACTTTTAAGTTGGACCATTACATTCAATGAATCTTGAATTCATTATAATGAATTCATTATAGCTCAGTAACAGAAACCTTTCATTATTGCTCTCAGGGGACAAATTTTCCCACAGCCCATCTCTATATTCGGAGTTGAGACATAAAGACAATTTCACATAGATTCATATTATTCTGCAGAAACTGGTGTATATACTTTATAAAAAAATATAAATTGGTGTATACTTTTACAGAAACTGGTTTATATTTTGCACAGATTGGGTTGTATTTTGAAGACATTGGCCTGTATTCTGCAGAAACTGTTCTATATATTTTGTAAAGACTGGCTAATTCACATAAATTAGTGTATACTTTACAGAAATTGGCTTTTATTTCGCACAGATTGGCTTGTAATTTGGGGGAAATTGGCTTGTATTCTACAGAAAATGGTTAAATCTTGCAGATATCGGCTTATTTTGAAGACGATGGCAGACGTTAACATCCATTTTTTTAAACACAAGCTATTTATCTAACCTTGAGTCATGACGGGTCTTGCTTTGATGGTAGGTCTGATTGTGGTCTGTCGACGTGGTGAGATCTTCTCCTGACCTAGCGACGGTCTGAGCGGGGAAATGATGACTTTCTTATTGGGGCTTCCATCTACACTCATCGTACCAAGGCTTTCGTCATCTAAACAACATGGGTTCAATCAAACAAATTGTATGGTTTTAGTGAACTGTAAACAAACAAAAAATCCATTAACTTTTTCCTTTATGTCTGCTGATAAATGGCAACATACAGGGGGTGTACCAACAATTTTAAACAGTTCAATCCAAGCCATAACATTTACATACTATATTAAATAATTCTACTAATTTGTGATAAATAGACGAGCAAGGCTTGGAAAATATGGTTTGAATTTAAATCCATCAATGTGTATTGTAAAGTTAAACATTTCAAGGTTCCCTCTTTCGGTCTTCATCAGCTCGAGATTGCCAAATAGCCAGCTATTTCTGATTTGGGAAATAAGGCCGAAGCTACAAATCGCGTCTTCATCAGCTTGAGACTCGACCTCGAAACTTGATACTCGAGCTTGAGAAATTAGCTTGAGATATTTTGCTCAACGTTCACGCATAGTGTGAGTCTTCGGGCTGGTGAAGACGCACAGGACAAATAGCAGGACATTTTGCCAAATAACGGGATATTTTGCACACTAGCTCAAGATATCTTGGGATGACAATCTCGACCACGTATCCTACTAATTGCAACTGCGAGCTAATGAAGACACAAATAAGCTGGATAATTTGCGATCAGGATAGGTGAAATAGCAGGTTATTTGGCAATCTCGAGCTGATGAAGACAGGCCTTATGATAAGGTCCGAGGAATGTCGGATCACAAACAACACACAAGATTACTCTGACTAGATTTGTTCTTTTTGTTTGTTTCTCACCTTCACTGTCCATCGGATGGAACACGACTGGACTGACCGTTGGCAGGGCTGGCAGGTCATCCAGGGACTGGACGGCTGGAGCCTGGACACTGGGTGCTACCATTCTGGTTGCAGGGGTGGCTGGACTGAGCGCTGGTGGGAGGGGCTTGGTCACTGGGAATAGTTAGATGAAGTATGTTACAGTTAAGGCCCCACTGTACTACTTGTAGCTATTTGCTCGCTCTATGTAGAAAGCAATGCCTAAGCGGTGCCTGTTGGGTCCCCCATGATCCTCTTTTTCTTATATTAATTGAGAGCTGAGTTGATGAGATAGCCAGTGACCATGCTGGGTGGTCTTATCCCTCCTGGCAAAACTAGTACAGATGGGCTTTAAAGCTAACATTCAGTTTGACTTTATAAGGAAAATTTGAAGGAAACTGACCAAATATAGTATGACATTCTACACACAATACATGAATAAATGTCACTTTTTTATAAATTTATTTCAACTTTTTTGCACATTATCATCTGCCAAAAAAAATAGCAATTTTGTTCATTATATGGTTAAGTCCATGGCATGTCCTATATGTTACTAACCTAAAGAGATTTCTTGATTTGTATTATGAAATTCTGAATATAAATTGACATAAAATATCATTTTATTGATGTTTTGTCTGATTCACAGTCATCACATATCCTGAAATCTGAGATGTGGGTGATAACATAAAGGACAAAATAGCAAGGACTTGCCAAACTATTTGTAATTTTACTTCTTACAATGTAATTTTTTTTCTTTATTCATTAACTGAAGATTTTCATTTCACATTCATATCAAACAAAAACAGATAATACATTAGGAACTCTAAACAAAGGTTTAACAGTATATTTGTTGTTATCTTCTAGTCAATGCAAACATAAAATTGTCCATGTTCACATTACCTGGACCAACAATGGTTGGTATCCTGTTGATAAGGGATGTGGAGGCCGACGGTCCTGATTCTGTGGTTTGTCTCTTAAGATGTCTGAATGGGCAGTGGGGTTTCTGACATCCTGTCGGTTGACTCTCCCAGAAGCAGGCTATCTCAGAACGATTCTTCTACAAATGCAAACAACAATTTTCAAATATAATGTACTTTTTTTTATTGTAAGAAAAAAAATAGAATCAGAATTATTATATTTGATTAGATTTCTGAAGGAAAAAAAAATGTGTCTGGCAATGAGGATCAGTCTGGAAACAGAGTTATAACTAAAAGCAATTGTGAGACATAGCAAATACAATAAGTACTATAGAAATGCCTGGAGGATTATTCCTCTGAATTCACTGTTATCTCCACGTTGCATTATAGGGGGCCTTGTGGGGCAAAAAAAATTCATCTAAAAATGAATCTCTCAATTTGACCAGTGACTAATAGTTTTTTTCTGATATCATTTAGTATGTGTAAATGGTCAAAAACGGAACAAAGTCTTATGTTGTACATCAAATTTTATGCAATGAGGTGTCGTGGTTGAGTGGGTACCTCCCTTGACTGTGGATCACAAGGTCTGCGGTTCAGGTCCCGCCACGACACTTATGTCCTTTGGCAAGACATTGATCTACATTTGCCACGTTCAACTCATGTGATGTAAATGGGTACCTGGCAGGAATTGATTCCTAGCTAGAAAAGCTAGAGCGCCGTAATGGCAGCCATGCTATTGCCAGGGTAATAATCGGGAGCACCAGGAGTGTCAAGTCCGATGAGCGCTATACAAGAACCAAATACTATCATTATTGTTTATCAATCCAGCATTCTATCAGAAACTTACCGTTATCTCCATGTGTCTGTAGGCACAGCTTGGTCTGTAGCAGAAGCCTTGCTTCCAGTTGATACAGGTCACTTCATTGCCTCGAGCTTCTTCAACATGACGGTAAGGACAGGCCGGGCCCTATACAGTAAAAAATACACAGAAAATTTGAAAGTATATGACATCACAATGAAAGTGCATGACATCACAATGCAAGTTTATGACATCACAATGTAAAAAGCCTAATCATCACCATCATCGTTAATCATGATAGTAATCAAGATTCAAGAAGAAATTAAAGGGGATTCAATTCATGCAAGAATATTCTTTTCAACACCATTAATGAGAATTAGCAAGAAATCTCATCATGGGAAATTTAAAATTTCATTTCCCCTTCCAGATAAAGCAAGAAAGCTTTTTTTTTTAATTTTAAGAAGAAAAAAAATTATTTAAAAAAAAGCATCAAAATTAATGTGGAATGCACACAAAAACACTCACCTTAATAATAGATCATCTTTACATGCATCAATTTTCTATTATTTTTACTTAAGATTTTTAAACTTGGTGAAGGAAATGTTTTTGGAAATAAAAATATGAGAAGATGATTCTTTAAAAATCAATATCCTTACCTAACTTCTTTCAAAAGCATAGGGAAAACATGGGGAACTTATGAACATACGTACATTACATGTACAGGTATGTGAACATACATATGTAAAAATTCTGTAATTTTTGATCCTTTTAATTTTGTATAAATCTACTTCCAATTCAAGTGTTACTAAGACTGATCCTCACCTTAGCACAGTTAGAGTAGTAGAAGTAGTAGCAGTCATCTCCCGTAGTAGCCATAGTGACTGGCTGCTGATGCCTTCCTCAGAGCTGAATGACGACAGGAACAAGATGTAAGTAACAGGTGTCGATTGCCGATTTGGAGTGCTAAGAACTTCACTGATTTGACCACCAGCGATAAATGGTGGCATCCAGATGTGGAGGTGTAAATTGGCAATTTGAAGTCAGTCAACTTTGGAGTGCTGGGAACTTTGCTGATTGAACACCAGAGCTAGATGGTGGTGTCAAGATATTGAGGTGTCGATTGCCGATTTGAAGTCAGTAACTTTGGAGTGCTGAGAACTTGACCGATTGACCACTAGAGTTAGATGGTGGTGTCCAGATGTGGCAACCTTCCTTTGCCGCAACAAAATAAAAGTCTGTTACAAATTCTATCAAATTAGTGTTGATTGACCGGTTGTTAACGATAAGAGTCTGGTGTGGTGAATGTTGAATATACTTTCAGTTGTTGCCATACACAATAAAAGATGTGCGAATGGTAAAGAGATGGATGTTCTGTAGATGATGAAGCCTTATGGCCAAAGTTCAGTATATCCTCTCTTTTTTTCTTCTTTTCCTTCCTATACTTTTGAGGGGGTGGGATTTCAAAGCTTTGTAGCATCAATTGCAGATGAGATGAATTCGTTCTAGTTTAGGTCCAACATGAAGACTACCAAGTTGTCACGATGCATATTTAGGAGAAATATTTTATCCAGAAAGATATAAAGTTCAGTTGCAAAATCTCCAAATGAATTCTAGACTACACTGTAGGATGAACTTAATAGTAATGATGAAAGTCTACATAAAGGTGTAACTTTGAAGTTGAACAGGTAGAAATCAAGATGAAACAGGTCCTTGAAGAAATGATGAACAGGATGAATCCAAGACTAGCAGGTCATCAAAGATTTAAGTTAAATCAAGCTGAATCCAAGACTAAGCAGGTCCTCAAATAAAATTGAAAGGGGGCGAATCCATTTTGAACACGATGAATCCCAGATATGGATCCTCACAATCGTTGAGCCGGCTAAATCCAAGGCCTTTACAGCAATGTTGAGCAGGCTGAATCCAAGGCTAGGCAGGTCCCCACACGGATGATGTAGAGGCTTGATCCAAGGCTACGCAGTATAAGTCCTACGACTAATAGAGATGCACATTTAACTCCGATATTCCGCATTCACGTCTCAAGATCGGCCTGATGAAACGCAATCGCTACTTCCAAATTTTGAAGGTTCCCAAATATATACGATTTATCCAAGAGGAACCTTACACGCGGTTTTCTTCCCAGTAACATGTACATGCATAATGTACAAAAGGCGCACGCGGAACACGAGGATGTGAGAACGCGAAACCGAGAATAGACAGAAAGACTTTCTGCTCTGAAGATCCCGCGGCAGGTTTACCACTTGCGTATTATTCACATCATATGCGTTATTCAGCGTAACGGATGCCCTATTCCCTGCGGTATCTTATCAATCATATCCGGTTCATAATGCGATTAAAATATATTGATTGCCCCACAAAATGTGCAAGGTTAATATAAAATCACTCTCTTAAATTTGTAAGATCTTTCTTCTGGAGGCAAGTGTGAGCTATTACGAATGAGTAGTAAAAGTAGACTATTTCTACAAGAGCATGAACATTAGCCTAGTCAATCTATGCGTACTTTGTCCATCACAAAAATAAGAAATATTAAAAATGATCATGATAGAAGTTGAACAACGATCGGGTCTTCTCACGCGTATATCACACCTCAGGTAACGACCGACCTAATACTTGTTCATGGTTGACCGGAACTATTAGAAGCAAAGCTAACAACGGTTATTCCTGATAATGATTGATTCAGTTTTGCGAGCAGAATGTCCCAAATTCTTGGGCGATATCGGGGCCAATTTTCACACAGTGTCAGAGTCAGTTCGGGGTAGATGCTGATCAATTTCAACTTTACGTTTCAAACAAAAATAATGGTTGGCCACCTTCAAAATATGTTGGGGTAGGTAACTGCTTGTGGACATGTGCTACCATGTTACTGCCAATTTTAAAATGCTTCACAGAGCAGTTCCCATCATGTTTGGTCACTGGACAAGGGCTTAGAAGGCCATCGATTGCTTGTAGATGTGACATTACAAATAGATGCTAATAGCTGCTAATCTTGCTAAATTTATAGCTGTTTATCCTGCACACATGTACAAATATATACACTTGCACAATGCCTGTCGTCAGCAAACTTACAAATTTATGCCACATTTTTTCTTTTTTATCAGCATTTTTGTATTGGTGACTGTTCTTTGCAGTATGTCTTTTGAATGAAGGTGAAATTTGAGCAATCACATGTCCGTAGATCAGCAGAATAAAAAAAAGTTGCATTCACTATTCCACTCCAATGTTCTATTCAAAAGATAAGTTTCTCCAGATTCCTCAATGGTTGTCCATTGGCCAACAAGCCCCCTACGTACTTCCAAAGAATCACAGGTTGAATGCTTGTTGTACCCTCGCACAAGTACTGCAGTCCACAATTCCTCAGAAAGTTGCAGCAAGTCGGTTTCATGTTTTTATTTTTCAGTAAATCCAGGAATAGAAACACTTTTTGCCAACGGTCAATAACAGAAACGAGGAAGCTCGATGTATCACAACTGTCAGGGGTGATGCCTGTGGGGCTTCTCGAATAAGTCTATGGCTTCTTTAGAAAGCCGCACAAAGTCTGCTTGAAGCTACCATTTCTCGCTTCATACATGTGTAGCATGTATTTATATGTCAACGGCCAAACACAGAAATCGCGACATTTCCGGGCGGTAGACGCGGCTTCATTTACGGTAAAGGCACTCCGCCTCTTTTGATACGGTGTCCCTACATTTCGCTTCAAATTACAAACGGCTCAACTATTATCGGACGCTCCGAATTTATTTTTTATTTTCCTCGATATTGCTGGAACTCACACTTGCCTCATCCCCATGTGTGCTACACTGTAAAGCCCTTCTCTACTCAATAAACAGTCCTTTAAAAACACAATCCCCAGTGCTCTAGGCAGAACTACTTTAATAGCGTCCAGATCCATAATTCCTTAAGATATTACAATATAATTCACCTCTGCTGCATATTCCCTCATATTTTATTCAATAGAAAATTATGTCTTCATTGGGATATCTTCTCTTATGCGCTTAGAAATATGATATTAAGCAGTTAAAAAAATGTTGTGTCACTTGCGTTGTATTATTATTATTTCTCTAATACTGGTCAAAAATTATTTGCCTGCTCCAAAAATCCTCTTTATTAGTGCAATCTCCCTTCATAATAACTGCCCAAATTTTAATTTTAATCATAAGTTAGATCATCATTTACAAAAAGTGGAAAAATAAAGTGCTCTAGTTTACAGTATGTTTAAGATCCCTTTACTTACCTCATTCCACATGCATTTTTACAATGTAAACATAATAGGATATTAATTTGATAAAGTTTGTTCCTCATACATGTGCTTGACCACACATCTGTGTCAACAATCTAGATTGGGGGATAGGGTCCATATAGTTTTTACATGTAGCTGTTGCAGTTTTCCTGTTTTAGAGTTACAGTTTCTAAGAGTTTTGGAATTACTGTATGTTAGTTTCAAACAAGGCCCTAGCGGGGGAAAACTTATCTTCTAGCAAAAAACCTGGAAAATCAAACAGGATTTAATTCGACTAGAAATGGAGGGAAACGTAATTTTCAATTTTGTGTCAGGGACCCCTTTCTTTCATCTTTCCTAATGAAGAGAGCTGGATCAGAAACAGAGGGGGGGGGGGGGGGAGAGAAATATAAAGAGAGAGGCAGGCAGACAGAGCAAGACAGATAGAGAGAGAGAGAGAGAGAGAGAGAGAGGGAGGGAAAGAGAGAGAGAGGGAGGGAGAGACAGAGACAGAGACAGAGAGAGACAGAGAGAGACAGAGAAAGAACAAAAGCATTAAAGAAAATCAGCTTGCAGGCGAGGATGGGAAATAAGACTTCCTCCTTAGGCAAGGCTATAATGAGCAGCACCCATCTACATGAAGGTGACTTTCATCCCATCTCTAAGTGATCTTCATCCATGTAAGTGACCTTCATCCATTATCAAGGTGACCTTTAGGAGAAGTGGAGCCCAGTTCCTCCATCTTCATCTCTACCTTCCCTCTACTCACTTTAAGACCCTGCATGCTGGATGTGATTGGAGACGGCTGTTTCTTGTTGTTTCACGCTGATGTTGAGCTTTAAAGGCTTAAATACACCTGTTAAATCAAAAAGAAAATAGAACTTTAGGAAGTCACGGTGATGAAGTCACAGGGGAAATATGGTGAAAGAAATTTTCAAAGTAACTCCTATTTTAGTATATAACACGTTGTGTGTCCAGACAGGATTATCTGACATTTGATTTTTAACAGGAATTTTGAAAAATGTTTAAAAGCAATGCTTCTTAATCTTTTAAGAATACATGCATGCATGTTTCATGTTTGACACTATTCTAAAGTCAGAGGGAAAGGTGCTCCTGTAATCAGTAGGGGCGCTGGCCCGAGAATAAGGATCTTCCGCATAAACGAGGATCATTTTTGTGAATGCGGACAGATGCGTCCGCAAAAATAAGGATTGTCCGCATTTTTTGCCGACGATTCTGATGCGCGCGTTGGCGATGCAAAAAATAGATTCCACAGTGATTTCTTGATGCATTTCACATTGACTTTGTACAGAGACTTTCATGTTGTGAGCGATAAATCCTTGGGAAGACGGATAACCCATAAAAGTAGACGGTGAACTGGGGGTATTTTATTACCTTTACCTTTACCTTTACCGCAAATACTGGAAGAATGCTGAGACAGCAGTCGAGCTTCCAGGTCTATCTTCTTGGTCTATCTTCTTGCACTCATACTCTTTAATAATAATTCTCATTATATGCAAGGGAGGCAGAGGGGCAAGAGGTTGCATCTTGACTGGACAATGTACCATGTACAATGTCCCAGGAGCAAAGAAATTGAAAAAATCAGTTCGAGTATTGAGAGATATGACACTGTTCCTTCCAGCAACGATCAAGCCTGGTTTTGAAGGCGTCTATGGTGGGAGCCTGAACTACTACTTCAGGCAGAGAGTTCCAGTCGTCAATCACTCTGTGACTAAATGTGTTCTTCCTTACATTTGTCCTACACCTCGGCTTTGAAAGCTTGAGACTATGCCCTCTTGTTGGTGTGTCTGCTAGTTGGAAGAAGTGGTCAGGGTTGAGTCTGTCATGCTCATAAATGATCTTGTACACCTGAATCATGTCTCCTCTCCTTCTCCTGTACTCAAGGGATGGCAAGTTTAGGCATTTAAGTCTCTCTATGTAAGGTAGGTGTTTCATTGTGGAGATCATCTTTGTTGCTCTCTTCTGTACTCTCTCCACAGCTTTTGCGTCTGAAATGTACCTTGGCGACCAGATTACATTTCCATACTCAAGGAGGGGGCGCACTAGTCCCTTAAACAGCTTGGGAATGGTGGATGTGTCATGACACTGAAAGGCACGTCTGATGCTGATCAGGACCCTGTTGGCCTTGTTGATGGCATACGACACATGGCTGTGGAACTTCAGTTTGTCATCAACAAGTACCCCCAGATCCTTCGTCTCTCCAACTGTTCTCAGGGCTGAACTCCCGATTGTGTAACGCCAGATCCGTTTTTTGCATTACCAGCGCGCGGATCAGAAACCCGAAACTCGCAGAGCTTCATTTTTCAGGAAGCATTTTGTCCGATTTTACGAGAATATCCTTATTAATGCGGACGATCCTCATTCTCTGGCCAGCACCCCTACTGGTAATCTGTATTTTCCCCGATTTGAGCTTGACAAATTCAGAGATTTCAAATTCAAGATTTTCCACTGGGAACTTCACCAGGGAAAAAAGGTTTTAAAGTTTGGAACTATTATAGGAACTGAAGTAGACTCTCCATTTTTTGTCTCTCCCTCACTCACACTCTCTCTCTCCAAAGTAAGATGGGAGAAATCAAAAAAAAAAACCAAAAAAAAGAAAAAAAAAAGCTGAAAATTGAAACAGTGGGAGTGTGGGACAGTGAAATAGACTATAAACATCCTTGCGACAAGTTTTGTCAAAAATTCATCTTCACATTCAATCAAAATTCACAATCTTGACAATTAAAGGCACAATTCTTTCTGGAACTAAAAGTTAGGTCTAGAGGTCTACGCTTAAAATTTTATGATCGAACATCTCATTTTCGTTATTTTCAAGAAATCAAACCATTCCATGGCACTGCCACAATTCAAAAAGTTCTAAATGACGAGACGAAGAAAAGGGACTGTTGCATGCTGATAGTACAGTAAATGCTACAGAAAATGGTACACACACACACACTCAGCTCAGCTCACTCAGTCACTGGCACTGTGCACTGTTGGCAGCTCAGTTCCCCCTCTCTCATTCTCAATCTCAATTCATAAGCTAGCCGATACATTTTTACAAAAATATAGAAATAACAGAGTGGCTAAATATCTACCTTTCAAAAGATAAATTGCTGCATCATGCTGATGATCCTTGTTCCTGTTTCATGGCCTCTTTTTTTTAGCAGGATACACTTTGGCCAAATTACGTCGGCTTGACGTAACATGTATAAAACGAATCGTCACGCGTCGCATCCTTGTTCTATACCAAGCTCTAGTCCCAAAGTAGATTCGCCTTCACAGTTTCGCTCTAAGTTGTTGTTAGGACGAGTTGAGATTCGACAGAGAGCACTTGCATATTGACAAAATTGCATTTTGTTCTGTTTCCCTTCCTTTAATACGAATACTTATAATGATTTGCTAATGAGGATATAGTGCATGATTATATTTTATTGTAGCTTAGTTTGGTTTTTAGTCCATTTTGATAATTCTCTCCCCTCCCCTATAAATTGTTCATTGACCTTCATATTTCATTTCTTCCTTTCACATGCTACTCTATGATGACGTAACAAAAGATGGATTTCATATCTTATGCCTAAAATTATTGCTATCATTCTTTCTGTCTCCCCCATTTTTCTTTTTATCTCCTTGAAAATTATTGATAAGCCCGGCCTCATTTCAGAAACATAGGTAAAAGCTAGCTATATTCTGATGTGCTTTTTGGTCTGTCATATACATCTATGCTTTCAAATATCTTTTTTTAACTACCGGTATGTAAAACAAATACCTTGATCTCTTTCTCTCTTTCTGAAGAATATATCCAATCACATATTTACCGTTCTTCCTCTGACTATCTTGTCTGCCGATCTTTCTTTTTCTACTGCAAATCTTGATTTGTCCGTCTCTATTTCATCTTGTGTTATGTCTCTATATTCTATATTTTCTCTGTATGTCATGTCCCAGTAAGTCTCTTTCTTATTTCCTCTTTCTCTACTTCTATCCTTTTCTCTGTCCCTCTCATTCTCTCTCTCTCTCTCTCTGTCTGTCCCTCTTTTTTTCTCTCTCTCTCTAGTCCCTTTCTCTCTTTCTCTCTCTCTCTCTGTATTCTGTCTCTCTATACCTCACTCTCTGCCTTCCTTCCTCTCTCTATTTTGTATCACTATATCTCTTTCTCTATCCCCATTTCAAGCTACTTTCTTAAATATGGCAACTATCCACTGTCCTTACCAATATAAAATCATGTCGCAAAAGAAAAGATGATCATACAGCATGACATTAAATATATATTCTTTATTTTTCACATCTCTCATATTATTCGACAGCAGTGCAAACGTAAAATATATACAGTCAACAGAATGCGTGTAAGATACCAAGTGTGTGCTAAAAATATGACTTATAATACCGGTAAACCATTACCACGATATTGCAAGTGGAATATAATTCACTTAGAAGGACACAGTGTTACATATAATATTACACCAAAAATATATCACTTGCTTAAGTTAAATAAACACCTATTGTGATTCATTAGTCAGCCACTCTGTACTTTTCAGTTGTTTTGTTGATATGCCAGGCTAAACCTCTCACAATATCAGCCTCGAAAGGATTGGTTGAATATCTTAGACACGTATATGCGACCTCATCCGACAAATTAAGGAGATATAATTCCTGATAATATACATTCTTGCTGTTATGTCAGGCAGAGTCTTAGACCAAGCACATGAATAAAGATTTGTTTACACCTATATATTTTTAAGGATTTTGGCATTTTTTAAACATTCTATATCTACTTCTATTTTTACAAAAGTTCCATATGTGATACAGCATTTTGCACACATTATTGTCTCACCACAGCCAAGTGCACACACAAAAATAAAACCAACAAAGCTCATTTGAATTGAAACCCCTCTACCTTATCTAAAGCATGAGCATATCGTTACAAATATCAGAGAAAAATGAGAAAATAAATTTATACTATACAGTTGAAGACACAAAAATACCAATAATCTGAAGAACATCTGAATTTATTCTTGTTTCTTGTTTAAAACGTAATAAGCATTATATTGAACGTACAAAACTGAATAAATAGCTTTAAAATATCTGTAACGTTTATCTCCATTTTCAGCCTTTTCATAAACACATACATTTATAAAACAAAAAGAGAAGAAGTTCAAATTCCTTACTGATACACTATAGTCTAGTTTCCCATGAAAATAATTCAACAAAAGTGAATCAGGCACATATAAACACACATATAATTGTAAAATGACACTGTTATCATCATCATTGGATACAAGTCCCCACAACTTCAACTTAATCAAAATATGAAATCAATTTCCCAGACTCTATATTGTTTCCTCCATGAAAAAGTTCTTGATAGACATCAAAATTTCATTAAATTTTTTATTCATTTATTCATAACGTAACTTTAAAAAAGTATAGAGGAAGAGTAGTGAACATATGATCACTGTTTTTTTGTTTCCTTCTAATATTAGATACACATATCTAAAACTTATAATTACACACATGGTAAATTATGTTTTTCAGATCAAAATCTTCGCCGTATCAGAGCTGCCATCAAGTAAAATAAATACATAAAATATTGAATTAACCTCTTTAGCTGCTTGTAAATTGATTTATTCACACTAAAAACTTTATCAGCTGTGCAAAGAATTTTTTTTGAGAACATATTTGCCGAACTTTTGCCCAAGCCTCAAAGCACACAAACCTGCGGAGAGGGGAATCCCCAAAAATAAAAAAGAGTCTACTACAACAAAATGACAGTTGATCATACCAGATGTGAATCAAATACTGTGGTACCGGTAATTTGATCTGAAAGGAAATATCAGAATTGCTTATGTGCCCTAGATTCTACCCATACTTACAGAATATTTGTAGAATTTCATCTGAATTCCTAATTGATTATATGATTTTCCATGAACATTTGTGTTATGAAAACACCTGATTTTCTTAATCATTTGCCTACTAGTACTCAACAAAAATGAAAGCAGCACACCAAAATATTTTTGTAAGAATACACTGTGCAATAAATTTAGCAACAAATATATAGCAGAAATAGTACTAGCAAAGAATATTGACCACCTTGAATACTTTTGACCAGAATAACCTCATATATTACTATTTGATAATTCCTTATTTCTACACTAAAAACAAATTTGTGCATAAGGCGACTTAAATATTGTAACGCAAACCATATGAGACTGTTACTAATATTTAAATAAATGAATGGACAAATGAATTCAATGTATCAAATGAGAATAACCGTCCATTTCCCCATTGCTGCACACAAACCATTTCATACTTCTTCCAAGGGCAAATGTACAGGTTTTGAATTTCTGTGTGTGGACCACCCTGCAGAGATCCTGCCATTTTTAAAATTTTGTTTTGGGTATTTAAATCATTTCATTGAATCAAACAAACAGCAAAGCACATAATGACATCTGCTGATCACATTTACATAAAAGGAACAGTATGATTCTTTTTCATAACAGTACATGTATGCAAGATAATGAATATGTTAAAAAGAATATAACAATAATAACCAAACAATTTAAAAAAATTAAAAAAATTAAAAAACATAGTCGTTTCCATTTTTCCCATTGAAGGCATACTTCCCAATTGCGCGAATCCATTTCCAAACAAATTTCTTATGATTTTTCTCAATAATCCCCTGATTAACCATACCACAAGTGTGTTTAATCATGCAATCATAAATAATGTATGCCTTTCCAAGAAAGCAATACATGTATATATGCCAGATACAATGCTCCTTTATCTTTTGTTATAGTTTGAATATGCTCAATTGAAGAAAAAAAGGGTTTCTAGCACATTTAGAAAACCTCAGACCCTTTAATTGCATTCTTTCAAAGCACACATACAGCTCAACCAAAACTCGTGATCATCTTGAAGCCTCGTTCACATTTGGCGCAACAAAATCATTTTTTTGTATAATGACGTTATATGATGAGTCAAACCTGCTTTAGCGACACCTGCATAGAAAGACCACCTGTCTACAAAGACCACACTTTTGGTATACCCTTGAAAATGGTTTCTCATTGAGACATGTGTTAAAGGAACCTGTACATAAAGACCACCTGCCTATAGAGACCAGTTTTCTTGTCTTCCTTGGGTGGTCTTTATAGACAGGTTTCACTGTACCATAGAGCTCACTGAATACATGCAGGACCTTTACACGCAGTTGCCAGTCATTTACACGTTTTAAAAACGTACTGCCGGCTTTTTTGAGGCAGTTCACCTCGTCGTATCTGAACAAGCCTTTGGGCGTGTCTCTTTAATTCACATTACCGTTCACATGCTTCCCAAAAACAAATTACAATCGAGATTTCAACCTTGACCGGCTGAAAGCTCGATCCTGATTGGCTGATGGGGAACATGTGATTCAAATATGAATCAGTCATACATGTCGAGGTGATAATAAGCACTAACTCTCAAGAATGATTTGTGGCTGAAATAAGTTAACTGACAAAGATGACTAGCATGAAACTTGCCATCATGAAGGCCTTTCTGATATTTAAACGATAAAAAGGCCAAAAGTGGGACTATAATAATGATATTTAAATCATTATTTAGCTGTTACAACAAATTGATCGAGACACACAAAAAAAGATGCACAGCACGCAGAGAGCACAAATACATTATAAAAATAAAATTTATCTCATCTTGTTCCAGCTTCTGTAGGCATCCACATCAGGATAAAATAAGGAACAATATTTTTATTTTTGGTATCGCCTTCGCCTTTCATTTTTACAATTTTCATCACTCCTTTCTTCTTTTCTTTGTAACATACCGTCTGTTGAGAACCAGAAGGGTGTTAACTCTGTGATAAAGGAAATGATTTAATACCCTTCTGGCACTCAGGATACATCCTAAGATACAAACACGTTGCTTACTCTCAATGCAGTTCAGAATTCATGCAATTTTCTTTGCCTTTCTCTTTTTTATATGGAAGAATCCCACAGCTAAACTAAAAAAATATGCCAAAAAGAAAAAAAACTTTTATGACTCCAACTGAAAATAAACAGCTTCAAATAAAAAAAAAGGTTAAATACTTTCAAGAGGGCAAGAACACAATTTGTAACAACTTTTGTTTCATTTCCTACAATTCTCTTATGCAAACAAAAAACCAATGAATATAAACAATCCTTTTGTGCAACAACTTTACAGTGAGCTTAATTTATAGTAAAAGTTAAAACCAGTAC